AAATTGGATAGCTTTGGAGTTGAAGTTCAATCACAAGTTATATTTAATTGATAAATCTTCAAAACTTGGATCTTATACCATCAAATTTCTTGGATAATGTAATCTTTGATTTCCTAACTTTGAAAGGGTGTTCCACCATAATAAAAGAGATTTGATTTAGTGCGGATGTTGAAGTAGCTTCAATCATCTTTATAACTTTGCTTTCTATAGTAGTAAATTGAGTTGATGCATTGCAAGGATTAATTCCCTCAGTTCCTCTTGTATTTGTGTCATTGCACTCTTTATTTTAAGAAGTTGTGCCATAATAATACTTAAAGAATAGAAGATGTTTAATATCACTTAATACAAATAGAAGATAAGACTTGAAAATAAAGAAAAAATACTAAGAAAAATATCAGTTTAGAAGAGTATAATCCATAATTCTTTGTATGCATAAGTTTTATTAAGAAAAATAAATAATTCACTCTTAATGAAAAAAAGATAAAGCTTCAATCTTGTAAGTATATTTTTGTCAATTTTTTAAGAATAAGAACTCAATGAAAGCAAATAAACAAGTAAGACTTTCTCAAAGAAATATGATAAAATAAAAATAAAAAAGTATATATATATTAAAAATAAAAAAATAAATCAAATAAAAATCAAAATGGCTATTAGTAAAAGATGAAGAAATTACACACTCTAAAAACTAAATTAGAAACAAAAAAAGAATCGATAAGAATGAAGAAGGCTTCACTTTTGCCTCTATATATACTATTTATCTATGATTTACATGGCGACATTTTATAAGACCTCCAAAAATATATTAAATTTGCATAACATATATTTTAATTTATAAGATAGATTTTTTATATGGATCCCATATAATTAACTTGTTCTGCAAGCTATTAAAATATGTGGTACATAGTTAGCTTGTTGACCAAGTTTCTTACCTATCAATCAATTACAAATACATGGAAAGTCAAAATAGCATCTAATTAGAAGATATTATAAAATTAATCTGTTTTTATCTACTTCTACTTATTTATATTATCTAAATAAAAATTATAATAGATATATATATATATATATATATATATATATATATAACAACATCTCATGAATGATATCTTTTTAAAGTTTTTTGATGATTTTCTTGTTTGTTATTTAGACGGCATTTCAATCTATTCTAAGAATATAGAAGAACATGAACTTTTTATTTGTCATGTGTTACAAAAACGTTGAGATGCAAGATTATATGTCAAATTAAAAAAATATATATTCTACACTACTTAGGTTGATTTTCTAGGGTATATCATTTCTAACAAAGAATAAGTAGTAGATCTTAAGCACGTCTAGATTATCATAGATTACAAGGTCTCTGAAATAGTCAACGATATACAATATTTTTTGATATTTTTCAATTATTATGAAATATTTATCAAGAATTTTTTTCAAGTTATGACTCTTCTTAGATGTCTAACATGTAAAGACAAACTTAAGTATAACAAAGAAGCAAAAACATCTTTTGAAGCCTTGAAGAAAACATTAATTTATATACCAATTTTGTATAGTGTTTATTTTTTGAAGACATTTTTCATAGAAACAAAAGCATTGGACTTTGCTATAGATATTATTTTATTATAAATGGAAGCATATGATAAGTTCCATCTAGTTGCTTTTCATTCTAGAATTTTTTTAGTAATTAAAATTAACTATTAGATCTACAAGAAAGAGCTTCTTAGAATTCTAGATTCTTTTTAAAAATGAAATCATTATCTAGAAGTGCTTCTTATCTAGTTATTATATATATATATATATATATATATATATATGAATTACAAGAATCTTGAGTACTTTATGTTGATATGTCTTTTGAATCATTGCTAAAATTTTTTGAGTATATTTTTATTAAGATTTGATTTTAAGATCATCTACAAATCCAAAAAAAATAAGATATATCAAATGTCCTTTCTAGACATTCTTATTTTCTTGAACCCAAAGCATTTCCATCTTTGAACAATAAAATCACCATTGACTATTGATTCAAACTTTTTCAAGCAAATTTAATTAAGTATATCTTTTAATCCTTTTATTCATAATACCAAGAATAATTTTTTTAAGTCTTATAATACTTTTAAGTTCAAATTTAAGAATAATCTATTCTATTTCAATGGATAATTATATATTCTAGAAGCCAAAGTAAAATTACATATTCTTCAAGCTCATTATGATTTTTTAGTAATTAATTTTTTTTGGATACAACAAGATTTTGGAGCTAGTATCTAAAAAAATTTGATGGCGTCAATTGTAAAAGGCAGTCAAAAACTTTGCACAATCATATGATATTTGATCAAGATCCAAAAATCGTCATCATTGACCTTATAAACTTCAACTATTACTTATTTTGAAACAACCATGGTCTTTTATTTTTATGGATTTTATCCTAGATCTTCCAATCTCATGTTTGTATGATTCTATATTTGTGATAGTAGATTGTTTTATCAAGATGGTATATTTTGTATCATGTACAAAATCTATCATAAGTAAAAAAATCACTAAGCATTACCTTAATAATATTTATTACTATCATGGATTTCCTAAAGATATTATATTAAATAAGAGGGCTCAATTTGTATCAAGATTTTGGAAAATCCTTTTTTTAAGATATTAAAGGTAGATATAAAGCTTTCTTTGGCTTTTTATCTTAAAATTAATGGATAAATAAAACAAGTGAATCAAGTTCTAGAGTAGTATTTGAGGTGTACTATTAATTATCATCAAGATAATTGGATAACTTTTTTTTCATTGGAAAAATTTGTATATAATAATTCAATACATTCTTCTACTCATTAAATACCTTTCTTTGTCAAATATGGTTATCATCTACAACTTGATACTTTTAACTTTTCAAAATGTCATATTCATATGAAAGAAGATTTAGCAAATTGTTTGTCAAAACTATATACAACAATAAAAACATAGTTAAAAGAAGCTCAAGAATAATAAAAGATCACTTTGGATGCCTATTATAAGGAACAACCACAATTCAATGTAAGTGATAAAGTATGGCTATTTTATTGCAATATCAAGACTATTCATCCTTGTGACAAGTTGAACTATTGTAAGCTTGGTCCTTTTCCTATTTGTGAACAAATCAATCATGTTGCTTATCAATTAAATCTATCAAAGTCTGTGAAAATCCATCTCATATTCTATGTATCTTTTCTTAAGCCATATAAAACAATGAATATTTTGAAAAGAAGACAAATGCCACTTCTTACTATAGAAGTAGATAATAATGAAGAATTTGAGGTGTAAGAAGTTTTAGATTCAAGGAGTGCCAAAATAGGTTAGAATATCTTGTTCATTGGCGTGGATATTATAGTAGTGAATGCACATGAGAGCCAACAAAAAATCTTACAAATGTAATAAAAAAAATTGAGATTTTTCATCAACAACATTCATTATTAATTAATGGATAATATTAACTAACAGATAAAATTATTTTATACATTTTAGATGTAGTTCTTATCTTATTTACTATGTATTCAAGTAGTCATTTAGATATTTCAAATAATTTATAAGCAATTATTTAAGTCACATATTATTTATTTATTCATTTATATGTAATAGATAATAAACTTAAATTTTCAAACCATCAAATTTTATATTTTTAACTCCATATTATATCTAAAATTAATACTTTAATAATACATATATATATAAAATACAATACCACAATATTAAAAATATTTAAAATTTCATATTTTAGATGCTAGATATGGCATAAATTATCATGTTTTAGACATATTTTAGACTTATAATATAATATTTCAAAAAAATAAACATACAAAATTAGAATACAACAAAAGAATTTCTTCAAAAAGTCTAAGCATGATATTTTTTCTAATGGTGAAACTTTATTACTTCAGTTTCAAGATAGATTATCTCATTTTAATTTCTTATAGAGTCTTTAATATATAAATATAAAGTAAATAAATAAAATTAAAAAAAAAATTAATAAAAAAATTTATTCAAAAAAAAACGTGTATTTTTTTTCATTACAAGAACTTACCAAAGTTAATCACAATAGTAGTAGTGCTAGAGCATTAAACTATCTTAATTTAGTTGTTGTAATTTTTTGTAATTCCATTCTTTTCTAATTAATTTATAATTTAATATATGATTAAAAACAGACATTTTATGCATCATGTTTTGATAGAGATGTCAAATTTTTAATTGGAATAAAGTCTATTTAATAAAAATATATTAGACAGTATTGTTATATTAATCAAACAATTAAAATTGGCATTGGAATCCCTTGCTTTGCTTTGGAAGTAACATGTAAAAGCAATGGGGTCATAAATTCTCTCAAAAGACGTAAAAATTATTTTTTATTGGAAAATCTTCTTTAAAACAGCATAACAAAAACAAAGTTGAAACATAACAATGCCAAGTCTTTGTTGCACAATAACATCCAATATTGTTAAAGCCATGTGATGTGGCTCTTAGTATTAATCTTGGATGTTAAGTCTCTACTCACTTTCATCATTTATTGAGACACTTAGATGAGATGGGAATCGGTTGACAATTTTGGATAAACTCGTAAATAAATGGACACATGAAGAAATAAAATGTTCTTTAAATAGATACAAACATAATTGCAAATTGCAATTTTTTTTCATGAGCCTTGTGTTATTCATCTATTTTCTAACATAGTAAGCACTTATTTATATATGAGCAATCGAAATTTATAAATTTATAAATTTATAATAATTCCATATATATATATATATTTACATGGGTTTTATATTGCATTTTGTTTTTCATTTGGAATCACCGGGCGGGTCGGACGAGAACCGCGGGTGCACGATGGACCGGGTGAACGCCGCAGGGGTCTGAACCCGGCCCGGGAAAATGGAACGAGAACGAACTGAACTGGGGAAAGGCCCGAAGGCAAATTTAGGGCTGAGCAAACAAGGGAGGGCGGGAACGCAGAGGAGAAGGAAGAATGTCAGGCAGATGGGCACACACTTCGGCGATCTTCTTCTGCTACTTTTTCTTTGTCTTCTCCGTTTCGCTTCCTCGCCGACCTCCTCCGTCACTCGCTGTAGTCCATTCCACGTCACACACACACCCCCCCTGTCTGTCTGTCTGTTTGCGGATCCCCATCCCCATCCCCCCTCCCTCCCTTTTCAGTTGCCCAACTCCTTGTCGCTCTCTCGTGTTCGATTTCGTTCTTCTGAGGAGGAGCGGAAAAGAGCCAGGGAGCCCATGGTACCGTCTCTCCTTTGTCTTAATACACCCGTTGGTGCTTTTCACCTCGGTTGGGGCCCTCACATCATGTGGTGTTATGATCTTTGGTTCAGGTCGCATTAGCTGCCTAGATTTGCGCTGGGTCGGAACTGCGGTTGATGATGCTACTTCTTGCTCTCTGCTTGTCAGAAGGGGCTGCGAAGTAATTGCAGCGCGCTCGGGTTCGAGTTCACTTCTTAGGGTTTTCTCTGGCAAGGGCTCTTTCTTAAGTCTCTGTAGTGGCGATGCTGGTCTGCTTTGCAAGAGATTTGTTCTTCTTTTGTTCGATCACGAGCTTCTGCCGGTTGTATCGTTGTAGTGACCTGTACTGGTTGTTATATATGGATGTTATGACTCTGGTCTGCCCACGCGATGATCAAGGTTTCGTCTCATTTGTTTTTGCGTCACGGCTGTGATATTTTCTTGGCAGAAGAGGGGGATTTTTTTTGGTGCTGTTCGGTAATATGGTGTAGTAACGTCAATCTTACGAATCCGGTTTTTTGGAACTGTAATGTAGGAAGCGTGGAATTAGTGCAGGGCCGCCTCATTGAATTTTATCAATCACACGTCTGTTCCACGGAAGTGCATGGAGGCAGGGGTAATGTTGGATGACCTGTCTTTAATGTGGGAGAGTCTGACCTTCCGGCATGCGTGGAGGTGATTGGCAGCTCCACAGTGGTGGTATGTCGAAGACTGCTTCATATTTTGTTACATGAGACATGTACTGTTTTGGTTCATACGAGGAGAATGGATGCGTGGTGATTAAAATGTCATTATCGTGCTTCTTTGTAGGGTTTTTGCATTCCTGGGCTCCTTCTAGATTACTCAAATGCGTATGTCATGGAACGACTTCAGAGCTACCTCTGTGAAGATTCGCTTCTTCGTCTGGAGTATTTGCATTAGTTGATATGGGTCCGGGGTCGTAGAAGTTGATTTGCACTCGCTTTAATGAGATGAATTCGTAGACTACTGAAAGGAAGCCTTGTGCTCTATTATAAGGTTATCAAATATGCCCCTAAAAGCAGCTGAGTGTGTGTCTCTTACATGACCTTGTAGGTGTAGATTCCAAGGTTATCCATAGTTTTGTCGTTCAGTCGAATTTTTAGGTTCGTTTAATGTCATGCTGTCAAGAATCATGTAGTATCCCTCCAGTCTGTCGATTTGTTCACTGCCTTCAAATTTCTAAGCTCAGCGATAGTTTATCTCCATTCTCGGTTTTACTGTTTTTGTGTCTCTGGACCCTACCTTTTTTGATTTTTGTGTGCCGTACAACGTTATAACCAGGCTCTGAAGTTTGCCGAATGTTGGTGCTTTGATGTGGGATTGCGGGAAGGCAGCAGCCGCTTACCATTTCAACTGCATGGATAGAAGTCGAGGCTTTGGTGGCCACCAGTTTGATGGACCAGCTCAGGTGTTTTCGCGGCCTGATTTTGTCCGCAATTGCTTCAATTGTGGGCAGCCGGGACATTTAGCTAGGGAGTGCCAAGGGAGAGGTTTTAGAGGTGTTGGGTTGCACGTCGATTACTTTGGAAGGGATGTCCAACAGCGGGCTTGGCCGTATGCTGGAATCAGGCCTGTAGCTTTGCACCCCAGGGAAGCTGCATTCTTGTTGAGCAGAGACGATGGGCCACAGGGATGGCAGCAACAGATTACAGTTGACTTTTCGGATTCTCGCACACTCGGATATGTCGGTCGGGATTCTGGTAATCAGAATATTCCCTTTCTGCCCAATAGGATGGGCGACAGACCCAGAGATAGACGTACAGGGTGGGTGGATTTCGTTGCTCCTTCAAATCCACCTCTGTATTCACGGGGTTCCGATGAGAGTCACAGAAAGTTCACGTCTAGGCGCACTACTGCGAAAGCACGGATTAGTCCTCTTAGACGAATTGCTGCAGCAAGAAAGGATTCGGAGGAGAATGATCTGTGCTTTCGGACTCTTGATAATGCCAACTCTCGTGCTTGCGAAGAGATCAAAAGAGGCTTCTCAACGGAAGCAGAAGCCACCAATTCTCATGGAGGAAAAGTTGAATTCTCTGGCATCAAACCTCAGATGGAAAGAGATAATGGCTCTGAATTTGCTTCAGAACATCCAGAATTACAGGTTGTTGTTTCAGCATGCAGTGACCTTGATGTGATGAGAGCTTCGTACGACAACGAAGCCGAACCTAGAAGTCAAGGAAGGGATTCTTTAACCCACGGATCCAATGCAGGACAGTCGTCATTTTCGAACACAGAGAAGATTGATTCTGATTTAGAGAATGGAGAATTTGTATCTGTGGGTGATGATGATGATCCAGTCTTCCAGCAATCTTTTGCGGAGCTTAGTAGTCGTGGAAGTCATGAAAAAAATGCTGCAATAAAGGTTATGCACTATTCTGACCTGGAAAGTGTCATGGTGAAATCTGGAGTTGATAATGACCGAGATGTACGGTCATGCCCAGGCAATCCTCCCAGTTTGAGGATCGATACTGCTATGAAAGAATTAGAGGCAATTGATTCCTTGAAAAGGAGATCTAACGGAAATGGTAGAGACGGTGCTGAGTTCTTACCAGCTCGAAAGAGTATGCATCAGTCTAGACATGGAGGAGTATGCCACGGTGTCTCGCAGAGTAACAGTAGCCCTGCAGGTATTGTGGATAGTATCAAGGTCAGAAATCTGGATGGTGAGGTAGATTATTGCAATGATTTTAGTGTGGATCCTTCTGCCTCGAGTGATATTTTCAAGAGGCGCAGTGACTGTAACGTATCGGAAGTGGAATTCAAGTCTAGCGACACAAATCTGAACGTCCATTGCAATGATTTCGGCTCAACTTTGTCTGCCTGCATGGATAGGGAGTTGCAGCGTCCCTCTAATGGAGATGATTCTTCTGGGTCCGGTCGTGACCTGAATATGAGCTCCGGGTGGACTGGACATCACTCAAATTACTGGAATAATTCGCACAATTCAAATGAATGCGTAGACACTGGAAAGTATGATTCAGGTGGATTCGCAGGATTGCCACGTAATGCCAACACCAGTTTGTTTCCAAGACGTTCAGTGTTGCCTGAATTAACAGAACGGCAATTCCCTTCTGTGCAAACGATGGAGAACGGTGATATGAAGGAGTATTCACCAGCAGAACAAAAGGTGTGTGTGCACATGAAACTCGTACCAAGAGCACGGTCTCAGCAACAGTGTACGGCATGTCAAGCTGAGGTTGGCATAACGTTGATAAATGAAAGTGAAAGATTTAACTCAAATAATGCCGGCAAGGTAGATGTATGCATGAAAGGGGATTTGACTCCTACTGGTGATAAAGGCACTTTGAAAGCAGTGACAGGAATAAATTTAGAAACAGGCGTATGTGTGGAACAGTATAACATCGATGCAAGAGTGGAGAAGCTGATGCTGAATTTTCCTCTAGTTCAAGGAAGAGAACAAGAAAGCGTTGCAGGTATGGCTTTAAAACAGTGGTGGACAAGTTTTTCCATGTTTTGGAGTTTGTCCACTAAACGATGAAGGCATTAGGGGTGTTGTCTCTGTCAGGTCCCTTGAGTTCAACGAAGGAATAAACTGTCTTAGGCAGCTTATATTATTGGTGGCCAAAATTTTGGCTCACTAGGGAAATCGGGAAGAGATTCTAATTAGAGCGCTACCGATTCTTTATCAATCTAATTGATCGGATTCCTTGTTTTAAGTACTGCTTTTTTCGGGTAAAACTTTGTAGTATTTTGAGGTGGATTTTTATTTTTATTTTTTATTTCTTTCTTTCCTTCAAGACAATGAAGCCTTTTATCTGACTGCTTTGATCGTCATCTTAGCTTTTTCTAAGCAGTAAGCTATTCCTATGGTCTCAACCCTGTTTTCTTACGTTCAAATACCCCAGCTAAGGTTATTCGGAGTATCTATAAATCAGAGGTCGATTGTTGTCGCAGATGCTCTGATGGCTGCATCACAGCGAATTACTGAGGATGACTACGAGTGCGGGAGTGAAGGTAGGTAGAGTCGAAGTTGTTGGGTGTAACGGTGAACTGGCCGCGTTTCTTTCAGCCAGCTCATCTTGGGCTGGTATCACACGTTTTAGAGGGAAATTAGTGTGAATTGTACTTGTCATTTGCTCGATTTATCTTATTTTATGGTATGGATCGGTTCTCAGATTGAATAAGTGTTTAACCTGTAGGCTCAAAGTCATGCATTTTGAATGCTTTTACGTACTTTTAAGAACCGAATTTGATGTTTATGCAAAGCAATACGGGATGTGCAATTTAGGAATCGACTCTTCTTCTCGCAATCGAGATTTCCCAACTAGTCTTGTTTTCTCTGCACTATTATAGTATAACCATATATTCTACATTGTGGGCTTATTATAATGAAGAATATGACAGAAGGCGTTTCAAATACATTTGCAGGACTTTCGACTGTTCCAGTTTTAATCTCGGGGACTCGAAACGTGGCTATTCGAACCAATATACCTGCAGAGAGTCTGGCTGCTAAAATTACTGTGCATCCTAATACCAAGTCCCCTGGGAAAGCCAAGCTGCCCTTACATGCAAGCAACACGATTTGCTGGAAGTTTCCGACAGCAGGGGGGGATTGGAGACTTACTCAGATAGAGAAGGCTGCAATTGTAGGATTCTCAGGAGGCAAAGGTGTAAGTCTTAGAAAGGAGGTCATAAATATGGGTGTTAGCATTTGCGAACTTGGTAACTGTGAAGTATTGGATCCTCGGAGTCTGACACATAGAGTCATGGTTTCGCAGCACAGAAAATTGGAGGTTCCTGCTTGGGCCTGTGCTGCTGCTTTCAAGGTAGAGAATTCCGTTGATAGTCAGTCCTTGCATTATCCTCGCCTGACTGAAGCAACAACCATTAAGAATGGGTTTCTACCTCATGTAGATAGCCCCTGCGAAGGCATTTCTACCAAAGTCATCTCAGCTACTCTTAAATCCTCAAAAAATTCAAGTGCTGGAGTAAAAATAAAAAATGAGTCGTCCGCAACTCGTGGAAAAGAGCTTGGTCATGGTACAAATGCTTCGCGTAAGTCTGGGCATACCCGTGTTTCACGAAGGAAATACGAAACGACAAATCATAATACTGCCAGTGTCACAGCTCAAGTTGTCCTTGCGGGATCTACAGCCTCACTCAACGGAGCATCTGATTTCAACCCCCAAAATAATGGTTATAATCCTGTGGGATTAACATATTCTTTTGCACAGCCGGATCAACAGCCGGATCAACAGCCTGCTGGTGATCTTCAGGATATATGCTCGTTCAGTGGCAAAGGTCCTGCTGTTTTATCTAAATGCAGCAAGAATCTTGTTTCTGTAGCCTTTAGAAGGCACGAGTTGCAGCTGGAAAGTGGAGTATGGCATTACTTGGATGCGGCAGGCCATGAGAGGGGCCCATTTACCTTGTCTGCTTTAAAGGGTATTGTTGCAGAGGGAGGGCTGCCTGCCGGAGCAAGTGTTTTAAGAAAAAGAGATAATCTATGGGTTCCGGTCTCTCATCTTGTGCAATATTATGATGCACATTCTCCAGCTTTTTTGTCAAAACTACAGCCTGATTATCTTGAGAGGAGCGCAAATCTGGTGAGGTCTGCCGCTTCCACTGTAGCGTCCACCGTTCAGGACCCTGCACATCCTGCTAATCTTGCTCTGAAGGGGTTAGATGTTCATAGTGTTAGTTCCTCGACGTTTCATAATGAGCTTCCACAGTTTCTTGGGTACACAAATGGGAAATTACATGAATATGTCATGAAATCTTTCAGAGGCAGTTTCGCAGGTTTCTTTAATGATGCCTTAGATGTATGGTCCAGTTCAAAACGTTCTGTTGCACTGTCGGACGTCCCCTCGCTTGGTATAGCTTCGGAAGAAGAACCTTTGTGCTCAGGTATGTGCTAATAAAGGACTTCTTCATGGATTGGCTGAAAGACAGACTTTGTATGTTATTTAGAAGTAACAATTCAGTTGTTCTTAACAGCTTCATTCTTTTTTGGAGTGTTGATTAGATATAAAGGACCGCGTTGAGTATCTTACAGCTGCTCTTGTTTTCTCACAGAAACGATCTCGTCGAATGTGGATGGCAGCCTATTTGTGGAACAGAACTCCTGGAGTGAAGGTGGACGTTCTGTCGAAGATTTACTACTCTACAGGAGAAGTTTACTCCATACCTCTGTGGTTGAGTTGGATGGAAGCAACAGCAGCACAGCGTCACAAGTGGGTGTTCATGTAACAATAGCAACATCTACAGGAAAGAATGCACGGGAAGTTTCTTCCGATCAAGAAACATCTGAAACGGGTGCAGTGCATGAAAATCTTTCAAACTTGGATGCAGGAGGAAGCTCATCACAAATTGGATGGGCATGGTTACCGACTAGAATACTGACAAAAGTTTTGCGGTTGCTGCGAGGCGATCCCAAGTCTCTCGTTGCAGCTATGGGCACTTGTCAGTCATGGAAGGATTGTGCGCAAGACATCAAAGTGTCAACCAAGCATGTTGACCTGTCCGGTCTAGGATTGCGTTGTACTGATGCAGTTCTTGGTGGATTGTTGGTACGTCCTTTATCGAAGAATTTTTTGAGTTTTAGTGCTATATTTGTTGCTAATTCATTTAAAACTGTGATCGAAAGTAATTAATATCACTTGCGCATCTTGCCATTTCCATCTTGTTCATATTAGTTTGTGAAGTACATGGACATCGCAATAATAAAATTGTGTGGCTTCTGGTGTTAACTTGGACAAGATACTCAACATTTGCTTGCATCATATGTGGTGTTCTTATTTGTGTCACCATATGCATTCCTTATTCTTTTGAGAAGGGTATTTGTGAGTTATGAGTGGGAATGGGTTGTTTCACTTGCAGGCAATTAATGGTAGCAATTAGTGACCAAGGCACGTTTTTGTGACAGGGTTTTGGTGGTGGACAATTAAAGCATATAACATTGGACCATTGCTTGAATGTGAGCTCTAAAGGACTTGAGCGTTTGCTGAAGTCTTATCCTTCAATTCGTGAGGTTGGAATTTGCGGTTGTGCGCGTCTGATTGAGTTGGTTGAACTTTATCCCCAAGTAAGATGGGTTGGAAATCCATTTGCAGTTGCTCATGGTATCGATACTCAACGGCACGGTTTGAGGTATAATAAGTTGAGTTCAAAGAGCAGTGGTGGTAAGCGTGAATATGGAGATGATGTCAACAGTGGCGGTTCCCTAGATGAAACTAGGTATCGCGATAAAAGTACAGAGAAAAGCGAAAGTCCTGGAACAATTCGCAGGGTCGTGAACTCTCTTGATCCGCTGGGTAAGGATGTACATGCATCGCAAATGGGATATCCTTGTAGAGATTTCAAGCGACTTAAAGAAAATTCTATGAGTGGAACACGCAATGGCTTTTGTACTAGTGCAGGCAAACACGGTATAAGCAAGCGGAAGCTGAACAGCAAATCAACTATCAAATCGCAATCCAGTGTTCGCGGTTCTTTGAAGGGCACCCCAGTTTCTAGTGAAAAAGCCGACAACGTTGCGAAGGAAGTGTCATGGAATGTCAAGGATGCGGAGAAAAATCCTGAGAAGGCAATGGCTAGGGCTCTTAGAGTTGTCATGGAAGCTGACTCAGAACACCTTTTTCATCGCATGGTAATTCAAATTTCGTGCTTTTATTTCCTGTAGCTTTCTATATTTTTGGCAATATCATGTTGGATGCTTTTTGTATCGACATAGATGATAGGCTGCTCTGCAAAGGTCCTGTGTACGTGGTTTACAGGGCATGTATTCTTAAGTCAACGTGGAAATCGTAGTGACCTATTTTGGGAGTAACTTGATTGTATTGAACCGCTGTAAGCTTCTGAGAAAGTCTGTGCATAGACCGGATGCTATGGATGTCTGTAATTATACTTGCATATTTGTTAAGTGTAAAACCTCCTGAATGTCTAAATTTTCAAATAGTCTTGGAATGATTTCAAGGTGTTTCCTGCTTTGTGTACAATTGACAATTATTTTGATTTTTAGGCAAACGAGCAAGTGTCGGAAGGGAGAGGAGCCCCTACCAAGTCAGGGCAAGTGGACTTTTGTACTGTACAGAAAAAGCTGAAGTTGGGTCATTATGGGGGAAGAGATGGAGTAAAATTATTTAAGGAAGATCTTCTCCAACCTCTTCGTAATGCCTTCAGGTTTTACAACTTTCTGACGCCCTGAAATTTAATTGCGTGTTACAGCATTTGTTTATCCAAGCTAATTTGTCGTGTGGATTTGTTACAAAATTATATTTCAATTGCTGACTTCGGTAGGGTGAAGATAGCATGGTGATTTATTGGTACTTAATCTATAGGGTTATAATTTATGCATTGTTTTAACGTTTGTGTAGATTGGAACACGACTCTGTGATTTACAAGACAGCAGGAAGACTGTTCAAGGTTGCCCACCAAGTGGGACAGCATCTGTTTAACTTACTCTCAAAACCTCAAATCAGAGAACTTGCTGACGGTCAAAGTAAGGCTCTTAGTAGTTGTGTAACTTCGGCTCGAACTCTTTTAAAATCTAAAGAGTCGAAGGATCTTGCCACTGAGAAACAGCGTGGTCCTAAGCGATCTTGGGATTCAGAAACAGGGGCCCGCTCTGTCAAGAGAAAGGTACTTAACTATATGAATAGCAGATCCGATGGAGACGTGCTCAGTAGGGACTCTGATTTACAAGGTTCAATCGACAGAGATGAAAGAGAATCACGCAGAGATCGAATGAGAAGAAGTCAGTGGGCTGAATCAGAAGCTGGAAGTTCTGACGAAGAGGACATGGATGAAGCTTTATATGATGAGGACACGGAGACATCAGGGTGCATACCTGAAGATCATTTGTGTCTTATCATTTTTATTAGAGTTTTTTGAAGCGCTTATGAGTAGTATTATCACTTTTTGATGTTCCAGTTATTTGATGTTGTGTCTCTTTTTGTCTTATTAACTTCTAGAATCGCTACTCAATTATTGGAGTAATCTGTTTAACTTTATGGCTTTTTATTTATTTTGAAATGTTGGAATGTTATAGATCGGATGTTGCCAGCAAATCCGGAATAGCAGATGAGCTCGTATACGACTACAGAGATGCCTCAGATAGTGATAATATATATTCCGGTTTTGGTGAAGGAAGCAGTCGAGATTGGTGGGGGGCTAGAATGACCAAAGCAGCGATGGTGCCTCCTTTAACACGGAAGTATGAAGTGATTGAGGAGTATCGGATTGTTGACGATTTTGAGAGGGTGGCTTCTAAGATGAAGGTAGTATTTCAAGATATTTTTCAAACTTCGTCATACACTTTTATGCTATGTCTGGTTTTTTCTCTCTGATTATTTTGCATGAATTTAGATGTTTTCTTTCTACTGAGGACACTAATTATAAGGTAGAGTATATTATTGCGAAACTAAAAATAGCTTCAAGAACTGCAACAATTTGTGTTCGCCTTGAAAATTCTATCAACCTCCGAACTTCTGTCTGGTTTCTTCTTGGTGCTCGTAGTAACTTTGCTTGACGGCACATGACTTTCTAGTGAATATAATTGTACATTCCCGTTCAAGTTATTTGTAATCAAGCAGAGGCACTGTGAAGTGACAAGTGTGAATTTTTGGCGGAAGGTGATACTGCCAGATGACTATGAAGAGAAGTTATGGGCGGCTAAAAAGGTTGGAGATCGGTATGCCCACTTAGATGTTCCGGAACTGAAAGAGTGTAGGCCTCGAAAGCGGTTGGGTAAAGAAGTTTTGGAACAAGAGGTTTATGGGATCGATCCTTACACGTACAATTTGTTGCTCAATACCATGCCAGCTGACACAGAATTATTCACTGAAAAACAAAAACAGCTTTTCATCGAAGAGGTTAGTAATCTGTTTCTGACATCCTCTGCTACTTTCACTTGTTTCCATAAAAGGATGATTATGTTCAATTCAAGCATACCCCACGTAAATATGGTTCATCCCACAGATTGCTCAGGTGATTTTTTTTATCATTACGGTTGGCCACAGGGACCCTTTACCTTGTAAAAGAAGTTTATGGCTTATTTAAAGTCACAAACGTCACGTCGTGGGCTTTCTTTCTCTTTCCTACCAGAGTTTTTGCCTTTGGACAATGTAACAGGTTGCGGATATGTCGTCTCCCAACCGTACACGCAAACTTTTGGGTGAAAGGCAGTTTGTCGTATTTTTAGTATGTACTGCGATCCATTGAATCATGCCTCGAATGCTCAGTTTCACTGCACATACTAATCTTTAATGTTTACTTGAAATGTTGCAGAAGTTGTTACGGGCTTTAAATCGAGAAGTGAGTTCTTTTACAGGGAGTGGGAAAGCTCCAATGGAGTATTCTCTCGAAAAAGTCATCGCACACATTTGTGGTGATGCGCATGCAGATCAGCCTCTGCAAGTATTTTGCAGAAGTTTGTTGAAGAACATGCAACGCCATCTCAATGACAAGTATGTAGCTTACAGAAAGGTACACTATTTGACTATCCGGCTATTTGTTCATGGTTTTGCTCGTCTTTGTGCTCATGGTCGTAGATCTTCAGCTGAGGTTTTTTAATCATTCTATAGCGGCTGATTATCTGACGATTTCTTTGTGGTGAACAGGGCCTTGGTGTTGTGTGTAATAAACCAGAAGGGTTTGACGACGGCGACTTTGTGGTAGAGTTCTTTGGAGAGGTATTTGTAACTGGACGTACTTTGTGTATGCTTGGTTTTTCGAATGGATTCTATCAAATTTATTGAAATGAGTGTCGACAGTTGATTGCTTTTTCCTAAATGACTACTAAGATACGGTTGCAATTTTATCGATAGCCCAGAGTCTAAGCTCAGAGATTTCATGAAATGCTTGATGTCTCAAACATCCTTTTCTTAATTGCCTATTCTAGTTGGTTATTCCTGAAAGCATTTATGTACTTATTAATAGAGTCTTTAGTCAATATTGGACACTATTTGCTATGAAATGTACGCAAGTGTATGTTAATGATGTGGTAACGTGTGAAGGTGTATCCACCTTGGAGATGGTATGAGAAGCAAGATGGAATCAGAGCTTTACAAAAGAAAGAGAAGGAGCCAGCACCAGAATTTTATAATATAGTGTTTGAGCGACCTAAGGTATGCTGTGAATATGCATGTTTTATGTCAATTATGTAATTAGTGAACTCTTGTACCGTTTCATATGAGCTGCCCTATTGTTTGAGACTTGGTCTGACGTGCTAGCTGTTAATGCAGGGTGATTCATGGGGTTATGACGTATTGGTGGTTGATGCAATGCATAAAGCCAATTTCGCAAGTCGACTATGTCACTCGTGTCGACCCAATTGTGAGGCTAAGTGAGTACTAAATAATTGGTTCCAACGATTTTATCTTTTTCTTTAAATTGATTATCTTTTAACCTGACGCATCTGACATGCTGTGCATGTGTCTTTATTGTAATTGAGGTTGCTTTCTTGCATGAGTGTTCATTATACCTGGGTATTTCTTGCAAGATTTTCCAAACTGCAAATGGAACAATGCTGCTCATCAGCTTTTTGCATTGGCTAGAAATAACTTCACATCCTGGTGTCTTCTGGGGCAGGGTCACAGCTGTAAATGGCAAGTATATGATAGGTGTTTATACACTCCGCAAGATTGAGTTTGGAGAGGAGCTTACCTTCGATTATTGTTGTGTCACTGAGGTATGTGTCTTGCATGAGATGTGGTTCGTTTCAGGCGTATCGTTTGTAGTATTTATCAGCCTTATGCTTCACCTGTGACTAAAAGGTAGCATGCAGAATGCACCTGCTAATGTTTTGTCTTCCTATCTGTGCTGATATATAATTTTTGCATTGTGTAGAGCAAGGAGGAGCATGATTCTTCTGTCTGCCTCTGTGGAAGTCAAGGTTGCAAGGGCAGCTACTTATGCTATACAGGACCTGGAGCCTATGATGAGGTTAGTCCCACAAAGAAGATATATTGAAATAAATGATACCTTGAGTTGGACGCAATAGCAATTTGCATCCATTTCAGTGCTACTATACCATTTTGTCATCTTTCTATTTTGTTTCTTTTGATTCTCTTGCTTTTATTTGATTTGAAATGACTGTGAACTTGTTTGTTTTATCTTGTTTAATTGTTATTTTCAAATGTGTACACCTAATGTGGAAGTATTTAAGTGCGGAGTAGCTTATGGGTATTTACTTCAATCATTTGACATATTTCAATGTGTAGGTCCTGAAGGAGTGCCATGGCATCCTCGACCGTCACAATCTTTTGCTGCAAGCCTGCACAAGTGGGGCAGTGACTTTCAGAGAGCAAGAAGATCTAAAGCAGGCTGGTCTGGGACCATGTTTGCTGGATGGACTACCACAATGGGTCATCAAATATGCTGCTGGAATTGTATGTGACTTTGTGATCCTTCTTTTAATCACCTTTTAAGTCATTTATATCTATGGAGATAAGATGATATTTTATTTTAACCTAGCCAGTTGGCTCAAGACAATCCAAATTTACAATCAACAATTCACAAGTAAAAACGTTACTTCCCACCAGATCCTTACCACCAGATCCTGGTTCGTGAAAATAATTTTAATTAGATTACTGTAATTGTGGATCTCGCTTGAGATTTTTTCAGCTTGTGAATGGACTGTTCTATTTTTAGGATAAGTGGAATTTATGTCTCGAATGCTATTTTGCAGGTTTCGTATCTAAATTTTGAACGGCAACGACTTCCCGATGAACTCATGAAAGCTGAGATGCTGAAACATACTGGAATCGACCTCGATAGACAGGACGTAGAAGTTCAGGTTATTTACTAATCAGTATCTTTGGTTCTTTGTAGTATTCTATTGCAGGCACATGCAGCTTTGTTGTCTGAGGGAATTCCCTTAGAGACTTGGATGGTTCCATGCGTTGTTATCTTAATCGCTTAATTTTTGTGTTTATGTGGTCTGTGGTTTCTTGAAGACTGAGGGAGTTTATAACCAGCGCCTTCAGAATCTTGCCATCACCTTGGATAAGGTTAGCTTTTACCTAAAGGTTTCGCTTCTGGATTTACTATCAGTTGACAAATGGTTGGAAGTACATGTTCATGTTTACATTGAACACTTCTGTATATTGTAGGGTTGGATCTTGCTCCTTTTGTACAAGCAATGTGATTATTTCGACGTGTCCAATGGCCATTTGTTACCTTGAATTGAGATCTCTGTTCTTCAGTTGAGAGTGATTAGTTGGATATGACAGTGGTTACTAAAGAAGAAAACACGCTTGATTTTATGTTTATTCTATTCTAGGTGATGCCACCTCCTACAATATCCTTATGTACGGGTATTGTAGGAGTTGCTGAAATTTTGAGTCCTCTCTTTCTTCAGGTTCGTCATGTCTTGACTAAGCTGTATGGTGAGGAGGCCAGCAAAGCATCTCCGCCTTTACGAATGCTTGAACCCCATGAGTTGGTGGATTACATATGGACGGGGAAGGATTCAGTCGTTGGAGAACTTCTTCAATGCATGGCTGTCCACTCTCCGGAAGGTTTGGCAGATTTGACTAGACAAATTCAAGATCACAACCCACCTCCAGGAGGCGACATAGAGGAAAATCTTCGGAGATCCTTACTCTGGTAGCAAACCCACCTCTGTTTAACTTCACTGTGTGTTTTTATTCTTATTGAACAAAAAGTATAGTGCATGAATTGTTTGACTTAAGACCTGTTCATGAAACCAGGTTGAGGGACACGCTTCGCAAAGTTCCAGCAACTTGTATGGGTCGTCATGATGCAGCTGCTGACTTGATACATCTCTACGCATATACTAAACACTTCTTCACGAACAACGTGAGTTTCTTTCTTCACAGCGCTTACAGAACATTCTTGATAAAATACAGAATTTTGAGCGGTGATACGATTCTCAAGGATGTAAATTGAGGTAGCATTAGATATATAAGATTTAGTAAATAATTACTGATATGTTGTTTACTGCTCAACAGGACTATGGGTTGGTCGATTCCCCACCTATATTAATATATGCATGTGATTTGGGTCCTAAACATTCGGGAGCTGGACCGTACATGTGGCGCAAAAGTTACAGCAAGAACTATGTATGGGGCCAGTTGATTTCATGGTTTCGACAAACTTCAGTGGATCCTGGAGCGAGCTTGGTTCAGGACCGCCGGGGGTGCCTCATGCTTCCAGATATTTCGTCCTGCTACGCAAGAACCATCCAACACGACTTTCGTTGTGGATACAGTGACAAAGACCGCAAAAAGATGATTATGCACATGGTAAAATCGAGATTTTTGTCATTTCATCGTCTTTAGGTTAAGCAAGTTTTTAGCAAGTACTTATTAGCAAGTACTTGTTATTATATAATAAGTACTTATTATATGTTCCCTTTGCTGCGTTGAATTCTACTTGTTCTTCTTTCTTATTAATATTCAGCTGTACTAGTCACATTTTGCAAAATCATGAAAATTTTCAGCATCATTTCTGTACTAAGAGTAGTCACTGTGCGTATGCAGGAGACCTATCCGCAGAAGAAGTGGACCCGGAAACTTACTCCAGAATTATGGAACTTCAAGAGTGACAGAGGGTTGTTTGGCAGTCCGATGTTGGATGCGGCTGTTGCTAAAACCAAGCTAAATAAAGAGTGCATGCAGTGGCTGAAGACTCGAGATACTGTTTTTCATGGTCCTTGGGATGAGGATTAGTATTGTGCATACCTTGTCTCTGCGGTTATAGCAGAGTTGGAGAATTTCTCGTTTGAGTGACATCTTCCGACAACAGGCCATGATTCAGTTGGGCTCTGGTCTAGTCACAAGTTGTTTGGTGACTCGTCAGGAAAGCATTGCAGTCTACTGATCCAATTCGTTACATCTTGTACAGCTGATTTTTCCAATAGTGGCTAGTTATCGGAATTATTGCTGTTAATCAGCCTTGTATGATTTAAGGTCCCAAATTGGTTTTCTGTACCATTTTAGTGAGTAGCGAATTGCCCCAATGGGTTCAATTTCAGTTTTTGGTCTCTTAAGGAACTTACGTCAGGATGCGGGATGGTAACATGCTGTTGATTCTCATACCTTTTGAATGAACATATTTATTTGGGCACCTGCATCGGTAGACTTTTGGGCAAGATAGTATAGACCAAGGTGGTGGAACTGGGAGCTGTAGAGCGAGTGGGACATTCTAGATTAAAATAGTGGCTGGGGATCGTGCCACATACTTGGCATGTTATAATCCTCCTTTGAACAAGTGATCTTGTTGGTTTCTTGTAGATTTGGGTAAAACATTCAGTGAATTCACTATTTTAAGTATCAAGATTTGGTCTTCAAACAAGTGATATTCCCTAGACATGATTCTGGCCCCATAACAAAGTTCGTATTGAAGTTTAAGGCGAAAGCATGTTTCTATCTGATTCAACCTATCTGATGACAACTCTAATTGCTTTCTATATTTCGTTGTATCCATCCCAGATACACTAATTAAATCTTAGGAAAACGATTTTTATAAACTGCCTTGATGATGAATTGTATTGAATTTGAATGGTTTGTTGAAACATTCAACTTTGCATGTGGAAAAAATAGATAGTTGTCTTGTTTTATTTGGAATACAATTAAAACTGTTATAATTTGCTCAAGATGTGTACCATAGAGATTGTATTACTTTACTGCCATTTCATGAGTTGATAATTGTTGACAAAATCAATCATAAAAGAAGAATATGAATAAGAGAGGAAAAAGGAAGGAAAGTAGCCATATCAAAAAAAATATGATCATAATTGATAATATTTAGTATATAAAAATGGGTACAATCTTTCGTTATATTGAGAAGGTGTAATAAGAATGTATACAATTATTTAGCATAAAATAACAAATATTGTTGGTAACACACATATTAGTATTTGCAATTCTAACAATCAAAACAATTATAATGTTGAATAATAATAATAATAAAAAAAAACAACATGATTAATACATTTTTTTATCATTTATTTTCACTTTTCATATTCTGTAAATAGCACTTTAAAATGGTTTTCAAAAAGTAAAAGAATTCAAGTTTCCCAAAAATATATATACATCATTTGGTTTTATTAACTTAGGTTTTATTATTTGATAAATTTAAATTTTAAAATAAATATGAAATTAGACTGTCACCATTACCATCCAATAAAACATAACCACAATTATTCAAGGCACTTTGTAATTCACAGAACCAATTTTTCTGTAAATGATAATGATAATAATAATAATAATAATTCACATAACAAAATCAAAACTCCAAGCATAATTTTTTTTGTTTATTGAATTTCAACCACAATATAATCACTAGGCAAGAAGATAGAAAGCTTGATTACAATTAGAACCCAAAATGTTGAAGGTGAGTAATAATTCAATGATAATCTCAAACAAGGAAAATATTAAAAGTTGATACTAAATCGGGCATCCGTGTTAAAAGACCGCGGAAATCCATGAAAGAGAAACCTTCATTGCCCGGGTCTATTTCTAGTGTCACCTTTTGTGCCAAATCATTGAGTTCGTATTCTTCAAGTCCTTCCGAGGATGGAACATGAGGTAACATTGCTTGGTAAGGATGTGCCACAACTCCCGATGATGTTAATAGTTCAATTCCATGCATTATATCATCTACAATTCGTACACATTGCATTAAGTATGTAAAAGTATGTGGATATGTGTGGGTGAATATGTATAGATAATTTGAATCACATAATATTGTAATTATATGGTATAAGTTGAATTGTTATTTTATATAACTTCTATTGGTAACTATTGATAATTTGTTTGGAATATTATGGACTTACATCATTCTGCATGTAGATGTAATTGAATGAATTATTTTTAATTTTTTAATACAAATTTACTAAATGCATTCAAAAGAACCATGATATTTTACCCATGTTAATAATATCATCACCATCGAAATCCCACAAAGCGAAAATCCAAACAGTTTTTATTTCAGATGAGGTGTGTTTTGAAAAAACCATTATTACATTTAAAAACTTCTGGAATGTTAGTCTTCCGGAACCATCTTCACTAAACAATAAACATATTCTGGCAGCAAATGGATTTACTCTCATTTGTTCAATTTGAACAAAATCCTCAATTTCAATATAAAATAAATTTCTTTTGCACAAAGCCTTTGTTTAATTGGTTGTATTTGAATCAATCACAATTCATGTGTGTGTATATATATATACTTATATTCATTAATTTTTATGATTTAAAATGTATTGAAAATATAAACCATTTTAAGATTTTCATATTATTAATAATTGAACTATTGAATTCTATCAAGCTAAATCTGTCTGAAGCATTGTCTTACTTTTATTACTTCAAACTACACAATAATCTGGTATTCAGGAATTAGGTAAAAAATGATGTAATTCTTAGTACACTTATTCTATTTTTTGATATGTGCAAATATTTTTTGATATAAAAGGTTTCATTAAAATAAAATAAAATAAAATAATACTGTTTTAGTAGGTAGATAAAAACACATCTGCAATTCAAGTAATTAAGTGATGCATCTCCTTACAATTATCATATTGATGACTTGGAATTTTAATGAAATGATAATCACACATTTCAAAATACAAATTTTATGTTCCTATCAAAAATCATACCAAAATAATTTAAGCTCTTTCATAACACCATGTTGAAGACATAACTTACCTTAAATAATTCATAATATTCTGCTAGTTCATATGTTGCAAATATTTGTTTATAATTGGTTGGTAAAAGATCTTGAAAATATTCATCATTTTGACCAAGATTTTGAGTGTTGCCAAACATGATAATGTTTATATATTTTTTAATGTTTTCTAGAATTTTTTTCATGGCTGTAGCATGAAATTTATCAAGATGTGTAATACATGCTGTGCTATGTTATACATATATATATATATATATATATAAATATAACATTCATATTATATTTTTAGCTTTCACATTAAAAAAATGCCTCATCATTATCAACTACTTCTCTTGATGTTACATGATCTATGTTGGATGTTGAAAGAATATTGGATATGTAACAAATTTCTCAATCATATCAACAAGATGCATGATTCTTAAAAAAATTGATAACTAAACACATTCATTGACATACTTTATTGTCATTTCTTTTAATATGTTGTTTATATATATGTATATATATTCTATAACTAGTTATTTGTCTTTGTTTTGTAACTATTTGTATCATTATAATGCATTTGAGAAATATTTGGCAATTTTTTCTCATATCAAACTAGGATCTGATGCAAAGATTGTACAAATTGTACAACTTTAGTAGATAAACTTAAATCCTATGATTTACCATTAAATACCATTAAATTATTTGTAAATCAGTTCACCTAATTATATATGTAGCTTTACTTATATATATATTAAAAAAATTGAAGTTATGATTGAATCAAATCAACAAACTTCATAGTATGTTGAGACCTCTATCATGGGCACTGTTAGCAGTTCTTATGTGCAAAACACCCACAAACTAATGGTTGCAATTATTTCAAATATTATGCCAAAAATGTGAATCTACATATAAATAATGTATTGTAATGATTGACTGTCCTAAAATAGTTAGTAAGATAAACTTTCAAAACATAAAAAATGAATGGTGACCAGGCAAACCACAATGCCAATGCTGTTGTTAGTGTATAATTGCACATGTTTCCAATTGACTTACATTGACTAAACTTTACCATTGAGATTTCTGTTGGAAATCCATTCATACAACTTGCACTTGATTTGTTTTCAAAATCTCATTCCAATCACAGACACGTTTCAAACTTGTAGTTTCTAATTTAATCTATAAATGAGATTACCTTTTCACACGTACCACTATCTATACGTATACCCATTTATACACAAAAGTTCTAATTGGTTTATTGTTATTTTTCACATGCAATTAGAGTTCTGCTTTTTTAATTGATAACGAATTAAAAAGCAAGACCCTAATTTTCCCTCAATAACCCCCTTGAATGTTAAGCTGATAAAAAAAATTATATAACAAGAAAAGCATGCAGCGATGCTCGAATTTTCCTCCTCCTTCGTTTTTGTTTCGTATTTTTTATTTCTCACTTTATAAAATGAAATGGACTGATTGCACCACTACACCACTATCGCACTGCCACCGATTCTCGTCCACGACGAAGGGGACGGAATCTACCTCTACGTCGGAATTATTCGTCGTGCCCGACGAGAGAATGTTTTGGTTTTTCTACCGCCTGCGATTCTTCCTCCGTCTTTCCGACCTGGAAAGAATCGCCAACAGAAAGACAGAAAGATGGGGGAGAATGGTCGGCGACATATCTTTTTCCCTTTTCCCCCCTTCCCTTCCCCTTTTGACGTTTCCTGTAGAAAAGGCAGCCGTTCGATGGCCCGATTTTCCGCCGGCGACCCGTTCCTGGTCGAGATCGGAAGTAGGAGCCGCACCAGCAGAAGACGAAGAAGACGACGAAGACGAAGGATGCGGCGCAGAGCTGCAGGAAGGGAGGAAGGGAAAGAGAGAAACAGACACTCACTCGCAATCATTTAAGAACAACTAGAAGGGAGAGAAGAAAGAGGAACAATCTACAACACATCAATAATACAAAAGGGGAATAAAAAGGCATCGAGGGGTTAAGGTCAAAGGCGCCAAGGAGGAGGAGTATGAGGAGAAGGAGCAGCAACAGATTCCTTAAGAAAAAGGGAGGAAACGAGAGATTGAAGTGGGGGAGGAAGAGGGGGTCACTCACTCACTCACGCACTGACTTCTGACTGAATGACTGGTGGACCGACCGAACAACCGACCGACTCCACTCGGCCTCTGGTCCACTTTGCGACCCACCTACCAGCTGGAACCCCCCTGGCGCCACGGGTTGGAAGGGAGGGGGGCACGACGGGATCCGTTTTGTGGGGAACATGACTTTTTAGAGCCACGTAGGAACGGGACCTAAGATAGAAAGAAAGAGAGAGGTTGTGTCGGGACCGAACCTACAGAAGAACCATATAACGATAAAACGCAACGATAAAGCTAAAGGAATCCAGAACGAAGGGTAGTCGTCCTGGTCGCCGCCGCCGGCGTCGTCACGAGCACCGTCGTTCGTGGTGATGGTGGTGGTGGGGCTTGTTGTTCGTGGAGGAGGGGGAGAGGGGCAGTGGTTGTAGTTCATCTGGATTTTCGGATCCCGTGAGGGAGGGAAGGAAGGAGTCGTAATCCTCTCCCTTCCTTGCTATTCTTATTATAACATGTTATTAGTTCTCTTTTTCCTTTTTTTTGTGTGTGTGTTTGGTCGGGAGAGGGAGAGAGTTGGGTATCTGGAGGGTGGTGCACAAATTGTTGTTTCTTCTGCTTCTTCGGCTGCTGCTTCTGTTTTCTCGTTTTCGTCTGCCTCGTCGTCGGCGTCGTCGGCGTCGTCTTCGTCTGCTGCATCTTTCTTTCTTCGTTTTTTCTTCTGTGGTACAGTGCTGCTCCCTCCTCACGTGGTTGGGGTTTGGAGGTGGAGGTGGAGTTTGCTGACTCTCTCTCTCTCTTTGTGGAGAGCAGTGAGCTTAGGGTGGGGAGGAAAGAGACCTAGGGAGACCTGGAAGGGAGGGATAGATAGATACTTAGGGAGAAGGTGAAGGGGACTGGTTTGGTGGACCGGCAGTGCGCCTCGAGGAGTGATTTTTTTTTGTTCGGTAGCAGCAGAAGAAGAAGAAGCTGGCTGGCTGTGCTGGAGCGTGGTGGAGTCGCTTGTGTCGTGCTTGTAGTACGGGCAAGGTGAGCGAGCTACTTGTATGCGTGTTTGTGTGTGTGTGTGTGGATGTGTGTTTGGGGTTACGTTACGTCACTTAAAGTTTCGTTTCCCGTTTGGAGCTTTTCTTCTGTTTTTTCTGGTTTTTCTGTTTTTCTGTTTTTTTGTTTTTTTTTGTTTGTTGTTTTGGAGTGAATGGAAATTGAAGATGGGTATCTTCGAGGGTTAGCTGCGGTTTCGATGGCTTGTTGCGAACTTTGTAGTATGCTTGGGTTGATGATTCTTGTGGGGTATGTGAGGGGGCGTTTGGTTTGTGTGATCGATCCGGCGAAATGAAGAGGAAAGTTGAAGGGTTTGAGGGATATGTGTGCGGGGTGCCCATCCTTTTCTGGTAGTGGTTGCTTAACTTGGAAGCGCTGTCTGCATAACTATGTTCGTCGTTAGAATTTGTGGACGGTGAATGTCTCTTTAGGCCATGGCTGTTTGTCTGTGTGAGAGTCAACTCTTTAGTTTTTGTCGGTTTGGTGTTTGTTGAACTCCCTGAGGTTTGCAACGAAACGGAGGACTAGGGTAATATCATATTATGTCAGAAGAAAAATAGAGAGATGAGAAAACAAACGATGGTAATTTTGTCGGTATCAGGAACCATGGCCCTAATTTATTTTTTAAGTGATGGGTTTCAATTTTGGATCTGCCCGGATTAGTGCACCCATTTTGCATTAACAATTAAGAGGCAATGACCAAGCAACTGAGATGTTAGCACAGACAAGTGGTGTTAACGTTCCTATGCCGTTGATCCGTACAAGAATTTCTTAACCTTCGGTACGGTCATTGGAGATATTATATGCTTCTTCAAGCTCGTATGCAGAACGGTTTTGGCATGACGATGTTGAAATTGTCTCCGTCTAGGAAGACATGGAACCCCATGCTTGCTGTAGTTCGAGGTTCTAGAGGTTGAGACTATATGTCGAACACTTTCTGGTCACCGTTGGACCCCCCGCCCCAGTTATTGTTTGAAGTGCGCATCTGAGTGCTTTACCTATTCTAGAGTTAACGGCTTACGTGCTTGCTTTCTTTCATTAGTTTAACCTGAGAATGGCAAACGTTCCAGCTTCTGCTGTACTGATCTCTGAAACTAAATGCAATGTCTTTACTACGTTTTAGGTGTAGCAGCTGTACTATCAGAGCATTTCTCGGGGTCACTGGGGAATCTTCACGGGGTGAAACAGTATATGACTCCTTTGATGACGAACTTAGCTTTCATGACCATATTAGCTTAGTCTGAATTGAAATAGGAATTTCTTGATACCCTTTTGCCAACTTGTGCGATGGCTAATCAGTGTGAGATATAGATTGAAATTGGTCATTCCAGGGAAGAGAAGGTTGTTTACAAGACTTGTACGCTTCCCCGCAGTGAGTTTTGCTAGTCCGCGGCTTAACAATCAAACAATACTACGACCTTACTTCTGCCAGCAACAATGCCTTTCAGAGATCACATTTTCCCACTTAGAGACTGCCTCGGTGCTGTGAGTGAGCCTTCAGCACTTACATCTTGCCTCTTTACATTTCTTTGTCTTCAGCACATTGCTATGATTTAACTGGGAGTGAGTGTTGGCTTATGTATCTACGGTATTGCTTGTTAAGGGAGAGAGTCTGAGAAGTTTGTACTGCCTATCCGTTTACTGCAGATGGTATCATGGGTCTTGAAGTTAGATGTCGATTATTGTCAGCTTTCTGTGCAATGCCGTTTATATGGGAATCTGTGTAGCAATCATCAACTTCCTCTCTATCTGTGTGTTTGAGACTGGTGTGCAGTGCGAACTGAATGAACGACTTCACTGTTTTCAAATGTCTGAGTTTGATGGCCATCAGCCATTCTGCTGAGAAATGTGACCTCATGGTGTATTTTTGCTGACATGATACTTGTACGCTGTCATGTGCAGCTAGCCAAAATGTGGTCTAGTTTCTTTAATCCTCAGGTGTGCACTGACATGGTACTTCAATAAGTTAGTCTTCGAGAACATGTTTTCCCTGTTTCACATATGCCTGGATTCCTGGTCAGTGAAACTTTAACTATGACGCACTTTGTTAAATTATTTGCATGCGCCACCAGTAATAGAGTACGTTTCTTCCTAAGAGAGGATGACCAGAATGCGTAGCATCTACTATGTTTGGTAACCCTTTACTACCACTATATTCTCGTCCAACTGTGGTTGATGTACGAATTAAACTCAAAGCTTAACCGATCTTCTCGTGAGAGAAACCAGTAACTCATTGCTACACTTAACGTTCATCGTTTCCCAGTTAATGTTACGATATTTAATGGCATACTGTGAGCTGTTTTGGAATTTTTTTTTTTTTTCTTTTTTTTTACTTTTTTTTTTTTTTTGACTTGTTATGATAATCTCAAGGATTATTATGACAAGTTCAAATATTGCCTGTTTCAGCCTGTGGGCTTCATTCTCTCTACTCTTTCGTATACTTTGGACTTCGTACTTGTTGAAACGTTATACATTCTGTAAGAGTAGAGCAACTTTTTGTATGCAATTTTAGTCTGATCACAGTTGCATTCTTGCGTTTGGTTTTATTGAAGGTGTTGGGCTTGGTAGTGGACAAGTACAGGCAAAGTCTTCGATTGATCCCTCATTAATTTTTTTCTGTTTTACCTGGGTTTTTTTTTGCTTCCAGACACGAATTGTAATGTCTGATACTGACAATTTTCAATCACAATTCTCATCACTTGAATTATAACAACAACGTCCTTTGATGTCACAGATGGCTTCAGGCGAAGAATCTATTTCCTTTGGTCACTACTTGGTGAAAGGTAAATCAAGACATGCTATGGAAGATTACCACGTTGCCGAGATTCAGAAGGTGAAGGTGAATGAGCATGAACATGAGCTTGGGTTATTCGCAATATACGATGGCCATCTGGGACACAATGTAGCTGATTATCTGCAGCAAAACCTCTTCACAAACATATTGAACGAGGTAATTTCGTGGTACATCTCTTTGCTGCAAATTTTGCGGGCAGCATGCAGCACAGCGTACATGCCTTCGCTCAGTTTAGGCAGGCTTCCGGCTGGAAACTGCAGACGCAAATGTCATGTTATGCAAATTTCTAATGGTTCTTAATTGGCTGTTATGGCAGAGTGGTTTCTGGAGTGATCCGAAGGCAGCCATTGAAAACGCTTATAAGAAAACAAATGTTCTCATTCTTGACCGTGCACCTGATTTGGGTCCAGGCGGCTCAACAGCAGTTACAGCAATTCTTATTGATAACGATCGCTTGTTAGTTGCCAATGTTGGGGATTCTAGGGCCGTCATACTCCAGTCAGGAATTGTTCAACAGCTTTCTGTTGATCACGAACCTGGAGCTACTGCTGAAAAAAGTAGTATAGAAAGTAAAGGTGGTTTTGTTTCAAACATGCCAGGTACCTTATGGACTTATGCACTACTCTCACCTTTTGAACCCTAAATACCGGCATTTCAGTGTATTCAAGTTGCAAGTTCAGTTCAAGCCTGTATTCATTGCTAATAGCTTTGTTGAATGTTATTATTTGTTTGGCGTGCAGGAGATGTTCCTAGAGTTGATGGTCAACTTGCAGTTGCCCGGGCTTTTGGTGATAAAAGTTTGAAGGATCACTTGAGTGTTGAACCCGACATCAAAGAAGTGCGGATTACTGCCGAAACTGAGCTGCTCATTCTTGCTAGTGATGGCCTTTGGAAGGTAAGATCTCAAGTTGTGTTCAATGATTCCTTCGATTCATGTACACATCAAGCATGATATTTAGTCTCGTGGGTACATTTTCCTGTAACGTACAGAGCTATGTACATCTCTCAAGATTTTTGTTGCCATGTTAGTTGAAATCCACAAGCACACAAAAAGCACAATGCTTAAGTTTGCATGTTTTTTCCAGAGCAGAACTTTTAATGCTTTTTGTGTCCCCATGTTTGTCATCAGGTAATGGATAACCAGGAGGCAGTGAACCTAGTGAGGAGAATCAAGGACCCAACTGCCGCAGCGAAGCAGCTTGCCAACGAGGCAGTGAGCCGCAAGAGCAAGGACGACATTTCATGCATCGTGGTCCGGTTCAAATGATTTAGTCGTCTTGGCCCCCTCGTGTATATTCCGATCGTTTATTGCTCTGCAAGGATTTTCCCAGCTTCTTACATTATCACTTCCTAAATCATCACTTTCCATTTCTTCGGTGGTACTCATTTGCAAGTTGGTTTTTCTGGAGAAGGATGTCTATTTCACACCTTAGACTATGCTGAACAAACTCCTCACATTTTATGTAATTTCTTGTTTGGATGACATCTCCCACCATTTTCTACTCCCCAGACGTCTAGGGCTGTTATTTTGTGCTCCAGGGTTGTAGGGTCGTTCAACAATGTATACAGTAAATATGCTCCCTAAAGTGGTTTTACGTTGAACCTTCAAGTCAAGCCATACCAACCTTAAAATTAATAAAATAAAATAACATGATCAAATAGAAACATTCAAGAAATACTTACCAAATCAAGGAAAAGATAATAATTTTGGGTTTTGAACGAAATAGTGTAAGACTTAACACAATACCAATCTCATTAAAAAATATAACAATAAGACACCAAAAGCGTCCAAATTGTGGTTGTCTTAGTCGTTTGTAAAAGATGGATTACGTAAACTTGCAGACCTTCTATATGAGTTTAAAGTGAGAATACTATTAAGTAATTTTAAATAATAAACTTTTCTTCAATTTAAAAATCTCAACTATATAAATGTAGCATTCAAACTTAGATATTGTAGTATTTAATGTTTTCAAAGACTTTTAGTTTGATATACAAATTAAATATTTATTCCTTACAAGAAATAATATTATATATATATATTACATATTTTAATTATAATTTATAATTAAAGGTAATTTGGTATTTTATTTTTAATTTTTATATATTAAAAACATATAAGTTATAAATTTTAGTCACTTATGTATCAAAAAAAAATTCAAAATATTTTGCCAAAAATAACTCAGAGTAAAGTTATAAATTTAATTTTGCATCACATAAATAAAAGGAATATTAAATTGATCCACTTAAATCTTCAATAAATGCACTAGATTCCATTTTGTTCTATTTTTTCAATATCTAGGACCTTCTTATCAATCCTTTAATTTTGCAGGTAGTAATATGTTAATTCTATAAAAGAGGTAGAAAATAAAACTTCTAGGAAAGGTTGGAATGGAGGTGCTCAAAAGAAGAGCAAGGAATTTGTGACAGACATCAATTGTAAAATTGAAACAAGTAGCATTAAGACTATTTTACATTGGAAGAAAGTTGAGGTAGTATTGGAGGTAAATTATTTTTAAAATGATAATTAAAAGTAAAAATAAAAAATATGTAAAATATTAGGCTCTTTGATGTTTTCGAACAATAAATTATTCAACAATTTGTCCAAGTGAAAGGATGTGCAATCATTTCTTAATATTGTCCATTATGATGGCATTTGCATGAACTTTTTGTTATGCTAACAATATGTAGAATAAGGTTAAATTAGTGTGAGAGGAGGAAGTGGAGGAGAAGATGGATAAGCAAGAAGAACCAATTGTGAAATATAAAGATATTAGAGGAGGTGTGCCTTGCAAAAAAAGACTTCAATAAGTCATATTTTTAAGGAAGCACATAAAAGTATTGAGGTGGATAGATAGTAAGGTTGTTGCAAACGGCCAAAAACACCTCTATACCAACAATATATCTCAATTCTTGCATTTGTTTCAAGAAATGTGTGAAGCCAACCTTCAAAAGGTAGTTTATATGTAGAAGTTGTTTTCCAAATTCATAAAAACCATGGAGGTTGAATCACCAAACAAATCAGTACTTCAAGTGTACAAGATGCAACATGAAGAGGTAGGTGGATCATAGCCTTAATACCAACCTTTGAGTTTTTCATGTGCACAATGAGTTATTAGTTAAATTTCTTACCTTGTGTAAGACTATCTTGAAGTTCTCTACTCTGTTGGGACCACTAGTATGGCATTTGATCACTGAATCAACAAGTGAATATAGAACTCATTACAAAGAGATAGATGGCAGTTTATTCATGCTCCAAATAACCACCTCTTAGTTTCAAATCTTCATAGACAAGCATGTCATTGTTTGATTACAAACTCATGAGTTTGATTGCAATCCATAGAAGAAAGAGCTCATTATTAGATATATTATATATTACATAGAAGAATTTCACCACAAATTTATGTTACAAGAGCTCAATGAAAATCTTATTAAGAACATGGATAAAATTAATTTTCTTGTCAAGCTAGATAACAATTGAGCTCTAAATATTAGAGGTGATAATGATATTAAGTATGGAGATGATTGTCACAAACATACCTATTTACTCCAACAATTATCTAGATAATATGAGTATGTAGAAGTAAATTAAAGTACATATATTTATTAATATCTTATAAAGAAGCTTCTTAGAAGCTCTATAGACCTGACTTTACTTTTATATATGTCTATATGTGATTGATAGGTTGAAAATTTGGCCAACAAGATAGTCATGTATCACACATATTGGTAGCTTGTAATACAAGCTAACCATGTGGTGTACATATAGGAAATTTCTCTTGCAAGTTAGACATGTGTCATGAGAGTTGGACACATGTTGGAGGTCCTATAGAGCATTGCCATGTACCTCATAATAAGATAGTACATACTAAGGCAAGAATGAGGCCTTCTTCATTCTCATCAACTTTTATCTTGTTTTTACTCTAGTTTCAAGGGTCTCTAATTTTCTTGTCTTTTGACAATAGCCTTTCCAATTTTTTCTTAAATATATATGCTTTCTTATTTCTATTTTTTCATCTCTCTTTGATATATATATCACTTGTTTTTGTATCTTCTTTGAATTTTTGTCCTTGACAATGATATATCAGATAGAAAAGGGATGACGATGATTCTTTGGATTATAATAGATGCACCAACTTATGTTGAAGTGCCAATGATGAGCTTTAGCATTAAGGTTTAGAATTATCTAATTCAAAGAGTATCAAACAAAGTTAACAAAGCCAGTTACTCCATAGGACCAAAAGGATGGAATAAGAAGAAGGTATTTATTTTACGATTCATGGAGCCATGCATCTACAAACCTAATCAACACAAAAGGCAAAAGACAATCTTTTTGGACAATTGTGGGAGACACAACTTTGTTTAGTTTTGTGAAGCCTAAGCATATATAAGAAAAAATTGCCTCTTATTCTTGCTTTATGCAAGTGACAAGGTTCAACCAATAGATTTATTTATGAACATCTAGATTAGTGATACTTAAGCCAAGCATGGAGAGAAGCTAATGATAAGTTAAGAAAGAATTAGAGACCAAGATTGATCCAACAACGTCTACTTTCAGGGTTCTTAGTCATAAAAGTTAAACAACCCAAAGAAGGGTTTTTTATACAACTTATGACTAATGATATGCAAGACATCAACTTGTAGTGCAATGCAAACAACCTAACAAGCACAAGACCATGAAGTGGCATAGACTAGCTCTTGACATTACCAAGGTATAGCATGTGGCCTAATTGATAACAAAGGTGCATTATATTATAGCCAAAATATTGTTATCATTTTGATAGAGATATTGTCTATAACATTTCAAGTTTGTTGTTTTTGAACACTTAAATCTCCTTGCTAGAATTGACTTAAATAATATATTCCTAATCCACATTGTTTCAAAACATTTATAAATTTATAAATAATATAGATTACAATAAATAATTATAATTATTAAAGTATATTCTATGTGCAATTTCTAATCACTTGACCTTCTATAGGTACATTTAATTTGCAGAAGAGACAGACATACTAAGTAAAAAAACATTTAGTAAGGTAATCTAACAATTTATACTTATTTGGTTAGATGTAATTAGTATGTGACATTTATAAGATAGCTATATAACTTCCGATATCATGTGTGAGGTTAGAGTTCAGCGTAATACAAACTGATACAGAATAATATATAAAATAGCGCAGTCTAAATTGACGATCCCAGCACTGTCACTTCATTCGCCTATATAAATTGCCTAGTGTGTGAAAAAAGGAAGCCCAACTCCACTGTAGTCATATTTGTGATGTTCAGATAAAAAGTGCAGTACTAGTTACCACTGACCTGTAAGAACGGAACAAAGATACTGAACAAGGCATTGTGGAGTAGAAAGAAACTCTGAGGGATGCAATTGCAAAGAGGATAAGAGTTTTTTTTGGAGAGATAACCATTACTCTTGATAGCATCTCTAGAGTTTCATTGAGACATACAGAAGGCGAAGTGCTTGAAACAACTTCTGCCAACTCAAAATGTGGAGTATATCCAATCTGAATAAACAAGTGAATGCAGGAGTTAACATCTGCACAAACCACTACGACTAAATTTCAAAGGACTAAAGATCGCCATCCCATATCTGTGATTGTTGATTAAGAACCTCAAACAGCCAGTTTTTCTACTCGTCAGAGCCGGGATGAGCTCCAAATCATGATGGCACTGCAAACGTTCAATATAGCGTCAGATAATACTGCATGCGAAAACCGTAGATCCACTAAATGCGAAAACCGTCGAGAAAAGAAAATTCAAATGCAAATATTTAGATTTATTATCTTACTGTAAGTGGTTGTATCGATTTGCTCAGGGAGCTCCTTGATGTCCACTTCAAATCGCTCTTGAACCTGTGAACCGAGAGAAATCGACATCAGTGAGCAAGGATATAACGTACATATCTAATATGCACTTAAATGAGGATGCTTGTACCTTCTTTAGTAACAAGAATAGTGTACCTGATTTAGGACATTTGAATCAGGAGCCGAGGCCACAAAAGTAATGGCTAGACCCTTCGTTCCGAATCTACCAGCTCTACCAACCTGCAGAATATCGCAACAATTATGAGCAAGTGAAAGAACTGAGATAGAATAGTAACTGCGTTCAAGTAGAGAGAAAAAAGCTTCTAATTGAATAAAAATTCGACGGATAGACACTGCAGACGATGCAAATGGCGTTAAAAGACTGCACCCACTAATCACTTACCCTGTGCAAGTAGGTGTCCGCAGAGTCTGGCATGTCATAGTTGATAACAATATTGACACGCTCGATATCAATGCCTCGGCCAACAAGATCAGTAGCAACTAGTATACGCTTATGCCCTTCCTTGAAACCTTTGTACCGTGTCAATCTGTCAATAAAGAAAGAGGGATTGTAAGTTCAGCTTAAAAGAAACTTAGATTACCTTTCGGTCAAAGACAACGGACACTGTTTACTCGATGCACAGAGGCGAGGAAATGAGAAGCAGAGAGTAGGTGAGGGTGTTATGGCAGAGAACTCACCGCTCCTCTTGAGACATCCCCGAGTGGATACAAATGGAAGGAAAGTTGCACTCCACCAACAGCTTATTTAACTCAGCAGCACGGCTGACACTCTTGACGAAAATCACCACCTGGTTGAAATCCAAAGCGTCCAGCAAGTCGTTGAGTTTGCGATTCTTCTCCACCTCGCTTAACTTGATATAATGCTGCATAAAACACCCACAATATTTTTAGACAAAATCAATTTCTGTCCCGCATGTTGGGCAAACTTTAGAATGAACCAGGGCATGACTCTAGATACCTGGACGAGTCCGTGAAGGGTGAGTTTTGCTTCATCGTCCACATAAATCTCCATGGGCTGCAGATAAAACGCCAGCAGAACATAGGAGCACACACACACACAGACAGGTAAGGATTCTCTGGCTGTCTCTGATAACCAATCGGTAGCGCCTCATGACAAATTTGAGTTCCCAAAGCTGCCACAATCAAACATTAAGGAGCTCATTTCTTTCCAGGTTGTTTGCTTTCCCCCTTAGTAGCCTCCAGGAACACCAGACCCCCATTCACATGACTGCAGCTACCGTATGTGGATCATAAGGGGGACGTCTTCGTGAGAATATAGCGTCTTTGTTGCATTCCAATTAGAAAATCTGGCTCTCACCCCAGAATGCGCTAGAGCACAACCGTGGAGAACTCACACGTTTTCTCCGAAGCATCCCCTTATCACCGCGGTACTGTGGAAGAGACAATTAAACCAGTAGTCTGTACGAGGTCTCCTCATTCGCAAACAATGTACTAACAGATACTTCCCATATATATCGTTTTCAATCTTACGAAGGTAAATTACGAAACCAACTAAACTATCCGCTCCATCCACCTAGATTCATCTGCTGTAGTTCACAATCCCAACCTACACCATACATCCCATGTTCGTGTTGAGTAAGATGTGACCAGCCCACTCCAGGCAAAATGAATGAATGGCCAAAAAGTGATTGGATCGACTCCCCCTACACAAAGAAACAGCCATGGCGGAGAGACACTCTGCCAGCAGACTGCCATCACCAAGAACAAAGGATAGTGCCTGGAAACTGCGAAGGGTGTAATTGAACACGAGACATTACATCTTGCATGAATCGCTTGCAGACTGGTCGAATCTCTTTGCTCAATGTGGCAGAAAACATCATTACTTGCTTGTCGTGAGGGGTTAACTTAAAAATTTCCTGTACGTCCCTTCGCATATCTACAAAACACTTTCAGTCAGTGGTGTAAGAATCTGTTCCATCTTAAGATAACCCGTGCGAGGCTCGAATGCAGCATCAAGGCCCATGTATGTTGTAGGAAGTCTCGTGCAAAGGCTGAGTCTATCTGCTAACTGAGGAAGATTCTACGTGTTCCATAATATTCGAGACATAGTTACAAAGGTGAATGTTGATAATTTTCTTTGAAGAAGTAAAACCATACCAAGCGACTCCAGCATTTTGTCACACTCGTCAAGAATGAAGTGCCTCACGCTTTTCAGGCTTAAATCCTTATCTCGGGCCAAACCCAGAATTCGACCGGGTGTACCAACGACAATGTGAGGGCATTCGTTTTTTAGAAGATCTTTGTGCGTTTTGATGTTAACACCACCGTAGAAAACCGCCACCTTAATATCGGGGAGATAAGTGCTAAACCTTTCGAACTCATGGCAGATCTGTGAAAGGGAGAAACTGGTCACCACCGGAATTTTAACAAGATTGACAAAAACAAGATTGACAAAATTGAATTCTTGCTAGAATGTGTGAGAAGAAAGGGAACCAACCTGATAGGCCAGTTCACGAGTGTGACACAGTACTAGTGCAGCGACCTGACCCGCAACGGGCTCAATCTGCTGTAGAGTCGAAAGCACAAAGACAGCGGTTTTCCCCATTCCTGACTTGGCTTGACATATCACATCCATCCCGAGAATGGCCTGTGGTATGCACTCATGTTGAACTGGTTCACCACCCATAATGGAACTGCCCGTGTTAAGATGGCATTCATAAAATGTCTAAATGTTAAAGCAGCTCAGATTAAACGGCTCCAAACGGGCAGACGAAGAACTGGTGTAAATTATTACCTGCAAAGGTCGGGCAAGAAATAGATTAATAATTATTCCGGCAGCCCAGTCAAAAGAGAGTCCTACCGACCCATGTCAAAGCCAGTTTAGACATCGAGAACGAGTAAGGATGCGTATTTAAACTTGAAGATACCGGAGCTTACGCTGGACACCGAATGAAAACAAATATGAACAGATGTTTTAATTATAAAATTAAAATTTCTTGATACGACTTTACTGGCCAGAAAGGTCATACGAGGATACAACAAATTAGTGTTAGTACAACACATTAGCAGGCTTGTACAGCTCCACAAACAGTTACTTCACGTGCAGGGGTGGTCTAACCTTCAGACGGATGCTCAAACCCACAATCAACGATGGCCCGGAGAAGCTCAGGTTTCAAAAGAAAGTCCCTAAATCCGGAGCTATGAATCCCAACGTAACCCCTGCAAGCACATTGGATAAAAAGGAAAAAAAATGTTTAGAGAATCTTGATAACTATCCCGAAAAACCATAACATATAGCAGCCAAAGCCTTCCTGGAGTAGAGCCAAAAAAAAAAAAAAAAAAAAGCAAAAAAACAACGATAATTTAATGTTGAGTAATACTGAATAGGAAATCTGGAATGCTAAAATTAATAAATATCACTCTCTTTAGTGGCCGTAAATTACGCATTCTCGGATACACTGTTGCTACCATGGTGACCATTTTAACACCCGCAAGTGTTTCCAAATAAACATACAGCACTGTCATATGCAGACAGGATAAGAACGCATCGTGTTCAAAACTCGTTCTCACTATGACGCAAACCGAAGTACATCCCGGACAGTAAGGGTAGACTTATTATCACACACCTAACATAGAAACCCCAATAACACCAAAGCACGAGAGGCTCCCCAAGAGAGAACGTACTTCTTGACAGTCTCGCCGTTGGTTTTCGCCGCAACGGCGTCGGGCGCCGCCTCTTCCTCCTCCTCATAGTCGAGCAACTCCTCGGTTTCGGGGTATGGCTCGCCCATCCTGCTGCGAGCACGAACCTCCGCAACAACAAAAGCTACGCTGCTCTCCGCAGACAAGCAGATATCGCTCGAGCCTTAACCCCGCTAAACCAAGGCTCCAGACAAAACACACGACAGAGTAGCAGTAGTCCACTGAGAAGAGCAAAAAGGAACACAACGTCAAAGTGGTTAACTAACCCTCTTACGCAACCGGCGAGAGAGAGCGAGCGAGCGTGCGAGCGAGAGAGAGAAAACGAGGACGAGCGCGGGAGACTCAAAACCACCGAGGCGTTGGATCCCCAACGAAAAATGAATCGAACCCTAATTTCCCTGTCCAACCAAGTGTAGCATTCCTGGGGTCGTTGGATCCCCGTATATGGCTAGCTTCCGTCGATTACAATCGACGGCTATAGTCAGCAGACGTGTATCGACGGCTGGAATACAACGGATTGGGCGGGCATCGCGGTTCTCGTCGACGAAATGGCATACTTCGTTGCTGTTTTCGTTGAGAAAGTCCGAGGAAACCGGTCATTACGGTTCGGAAGGGACCCAGGGAGGACAACCATCGCCGCCAGAATCCCACCCTGCTAATGGAATATTTTTTCAAAGATTCTCAGCAAATGTGGTTACTTATTATCATATAACAAATAACTTATCATAACAACATAACTATCTTTACAATCATTCTACTTTAAAAGAAGTGACGATTAAATTGTCCTCAGAAATCTGGGTTTGGTACTGAAACCATGCAGTGTAAACATGCCCAGTATGTTACTTGCGTGAATGTGTTTGTGTTTAGTTTAGTATGGAGTGATGAATCCTATAAAATGTTACATAGTTAGACCAGTTTTTTGTAAGATGAATTGCTGATCTTCATTTAGAAAATTATGATTTATTTTTTCCTTTCCTTCGACATATTAGTATTACCTGATATGATACACTTTTATGATTTATTTTCGTTTCACATGTATTTTAAGAATGATCAATGACTGCATTTCAAGACAAATTTGAAAAGAATGTTTTCGTTAGTTACCCATCATAGTCACAACCTAGTCCGACTGCAGAGTTTCAAATGAACTCATACACCTTTAGATGGATAACTCAAAATGTTCAGGGCAAGAAAATAAACTAGCTTGTAATGATTCAAATTGCATGCAGATCAAACGTGGCCTATAACATTGCAACCTCCAAAAATAAGAGTATAGAAAGCTGACAGTCAAGTGCTTTACACACTGCTTGTGCATTCACACACGGAAAAGATAACCGAGCACTGGTTTTATGAAAAGGTCAACCCAACCACATGCTTCGTTAGAGGTTGACAGGAAACTGCCGGTGGGTAGCAGAATTACCTCCATCGAAACCAAAATACTAAGGAATGAATAGCAGTCTAAATTGGACATACTCGCTAATGCACATCTCCACCTATACACTGTTAAAGAATACACTCCACGACACTAAGAGAGACTCACTGTCTCATCATGCCATCTACCGAAAGACACCCTTGACACTGAAACAAAACAATAAGAAAGCAGGTTTTTCATATCCGCAACACAATGGATGATACCTGGACACCAGCTGTCGGTTGCAAACAACTCTTGGAGACAAAGACAGCTACTGTACTCCACCGCGTGGAGAAACTACTTGACTGATTTGCACTGCATCATATATAGCAACAACCCCTGTACGACAGCCACCAAACCTGCATTTGGAGGGCTTACATACTTCATAGCAGTCACGATGGAACAGCGAACCTTCCCTACGACCTGAGCACTGGTCGTTACAGCCCTCAATCAGCGCTGGGGTTCTCCGTCTTCTAAGCAGTTGCTGACCAATACTAAATACTCACTAGGCAACCTCGCTAGGATGACGGTCATAGCTGGGTAGGAGGAAAAATCTGCCGAATGAACTCTTGAAAGCGTTTGGAATATAATTTAGGTTCCACCGCAGATATGGAAATCGAATCAAACTGGCAGGCCTTGTATGCGTGCTCTATGCGTTTGCTGAGACTGTAATTTTGCAGAATGTCAATGATGCCAAAATATAGCACCACATCATGCGACTCTCCAAAGAATTGACCCTCAGAGGTCTTCGATTCATCATCCTTTTTATGTACACGTTCAGCTCTTGCGGGCATGTTTACTCCTAGCTGTATCCTCAACCTGCTAACATGGAAAACATAAAATCATATGCGTAAGTCAAAATCTTAGAGTCACGGAGAGTCTTGGCTGCAGACAAAAGGATTCAATTTCATTCAAGTGGGGATACGATTCACAAGTGTCAAAAAGCCCTCACCGAGCTGTGCCTGGAAGAAGCAAATCAACTTCAGGATCTCCGGCCACAGATGCTCGTAAAGGACTTCCCCGAATATGAATTCCAGGGGTTCCGCTACTGCCATGGGCAGCATCTCGTGCTACCAGCACAATACCTCTATTACTCGCCCATTCTTCATCACCTCCTACAGGTTCACAAAATAAAGCAGTTACAACAATATTAAGCACTTCCTGTGTAGATAAAACTAGCACAACTTTAGTTCTAGTGAGATGAACTTGGTTACTTAATTCTTTTGGTCACGCAACAAAATATCCATCCAATTGTTTTTTACTGCTTAGCGCTTGACCTGTAAAAGCCCATAAAAAAAGTAGCACAATCCATCCCTCGCGGTAAACAGGCGAAACATAAATATAAGGTTTACATTCTGACAGTTGAAAATCAGGAATTGATCAAACATAAATGACTAACATGATGCAATAGACTTTCCATAATACAAATGTGAATAACTTGCAGCTAACAAAACTTTAGAGAAATGGAAGACGAATGCAACGGCCAAAGAGTCGATTTTTTCCAGAGCAAATACCTTCGTCTAGAGCGGTGCTTGTGAATGATTCACTTGGAGGAACATCTGGTGTAGAGGAAGGACCTGGAGACAAAGGTGCTCTGTATTGTGGAGCCCTAAAATGAAGGCCTAGCAACATACTGTAATCCATAATACCACGAGCTTCTAGAAACTTGCAGTCATACTCAAGTTGCCTGCCAATGTGCACAGCCATCCCAAATGTCTCTTACAAAACGTTACACTTATTACTCTCCAGTAACGAAACAATTGGTGAAATAGTGTTTTAAAAAAACTTCTGAACTTTGCCACTGACACCACCTAGTAGCGATAATAAGATCTGTTACAATCTCATCTAATTCAAGTTACTGCATAGTAGGTAACTGTAAACCTGTACTAAACCCAGCTTAACAAAATCTTCTTTTTATAAAATTCTTATTGAATGGACGAAAAAGGAGAAAGACGCAATACTTTGACGCGTATATGATACGCTCCATTCACAAGCATTTTTGTTCATAATGTCAGAGAAAATAATACCGGAGCAGTGAATCACGCCAAGAGGGGTCAAGTCGAAACTCGTAGTCAAGATCCAGGTCTTTTAACGTAGTTGTTTCATCAATCTCCACCTTATCCGCAGAGCGCCCTTGCGACGATCCTTTCAGGTCGAATCGCCGATGTATACGGAGCTCAGTACAGAACATGTTGCCCATCACTACGAACCGCACCTGCAATATGTTCAACTCTTGGTTAGCTCTGAGAAGGAAACAAGGATTATGCTAAAAGGCACCTCATCAGGTTGGCTCAGGTTTGCGATACTTTAAAAACGACATATACCAAGTAGTTCCAATGCTCACATACAAGCCGCATTGAGGAGAAAAATCATCTTTCAGTGATTTCTGGTACTCTTTTGCACGATGTCTGAGTCCAAAAACATTGCTAAACTAACTGAACATGTCAGCTCACATTTCTTCAGTGAACGTAATATTTCAAAGTAGCTGAGTAACAATCTAATTAGCTGGCACACTTTTGGCTAAAGCAATTTAAAGAAAGGTCCAAAATCCTAATATAATCATACAAAAGCAAGTTGACAATTTAAATAGACAAGAAAGAATCTAAAATTGAATGTGTAAAGTAGTGCATGCGTCAAAAAAGGAAATCACCTTTTGACCTCCGTATGGCTTAATGCGATGAAGACCAAAAAACTTTGTGATGAGTGTATTATCGTAAGTTTTCACATGGAGATGGTATGCTGCGAGCATATTCAAAAGAACCTACAAAAACAAACTCAAACCAAAGGAAAATAAATAAGAGCACTAGAGTAGCACAATAATCATACCAAAATTACTGATAATGCGGCCTCAGAGATCTAGTTGCCGCACGCATTATTGCAGCAGCAAATATATGAAGCTGAAGTAAAAAAAAAGCTGGACATATTCTAGATCACCTTTACTTCCGCTTTTTTCATTGTTTTGATTATGAATCGGTCATCATGCGAGAGATAAAATACGCTGCCACTCTTTCCAGGTGAAACAAGCTCCCTCAACGCATCATCTCCACATAAAGATAACATGTAATCTGCTGCATCAATCTTGAACATTTCCCGCAAATGTCTGCCAGAACATTTATTTAACAACATTCAGGGTTGTTCATTAACATTCTCCAATACTCCCTTTTTTAAGGAAAAGAAAGAAAAAGAAATGAAGATCATAACGCTGAAAAATTGAAATGAAAACAAGTATTTGATCCGTGAAAAAATTCACCCCATAAAAAGAGTAGTGTGTGACCTGAAAACCATGGGACAGTAGTCTTTCCACTTAAAATCTGATGAATTGTGAGTAGGAGTCAGTGGCGTCCCAGATTTTGGAAAATTCATGTGTATGCTGGCACGAGGTCCGAAATCATTTGGACCAATCTCATGTCTGGGCTCTGGGGTGATCTTGCCAACAGTATATCTGTAGTAAGAAGACAATGAACAAGAATGCTGAAGTCATATTTCAGAAAATGCGGGAAATAGGGAAGATAAATAACCACCGCACTCCCCGACCCAGTTACAACGTACATATGCATCAGGCGAGGGGTGCAATAGACCCAAGGCTCCAAAACGCCGTACAGCAAGCTTCTATAATCGCAAGAAACTAAATATAAAGAACCCAGAGGATTCCCAGGGATTTAATCAGTTGGAATATTATTAACGTGTAGCAGTGTTTACAAATCGAACATGGATTATGCAATGAACATGAAAACCTGTAGAATAAATCAATCTCTTCATACTACCATGTATAGAACGTACCTTATGCCAAGCTGCAAATTTAGCATAAGGTCATAACTCCGATGACCCTTGAATATGGTTTCTCCAGGTCTTTTGATATCCTTAGCAGATCTGCGAGGTCTCCTCTTTTTGTGACCCACAGCATCAGCACTGTCTTTCACCAGCTCACTCATCAGCACGCCCTGGACATACTCCCTCACAACTACGGTAGGAGGAAGGGCTCCAGGGGTCTCCAACAGAGGTCTTTCCACTCCCCGCTCCACACCTTCCAAGATAGTATCTGTGGTTCGAACACTACCGTTACCCTCCAATCCAAACCCCCTCTCTAATGGGCCATCCATGCTCCGACGTCTCTGAATACTGTTTGAAAAGTCCCCGCCCTTGGACAACTCTCCACCATAAGGGATCCTTTCAGATGATATGGATCTACTTCTAGACCACCGCAGAGGACGAAGCTCCCCACTGTGATAAACATGACTTGCAACACCTCCGTCATTGTTCCGAACTGCTTGTAAGTCTCGGGTACCAGCAGGATAAAATACACCTTTTCCATCTTTAAGACCCCTGCTCCAAGTTCCATTGTAAGAACTCCCGTCTGCCCACACATATACTCCTCGTCCATGCTCCAACCCATCCAGCCACTGCCCATCAAATTTATCACCGCTTGTCCACGTTAACACGCCATTACCACACATTGTGCCTCCTCTCCATTCCCCATTGTACTCGTTTCCGCTTGCCCAAGTGTACTTACCAACGCCTTCTTGGACTCCTTGTTTCCAAGTCCCTTCGTAAACGTCCCCATTTGCATACCTCTTCCGACCTTGCCCGTGCTTGACGTTCATGCTCCATTGACCTTTATAGGTTGTGCCACCGGTTCCCATATACGTGCCAACCCCATGCATGTATCCTCCAATAAATTCACCTTCGTAAGTGGCCCCAGATGGCCATGAGATCTTGCCCTTTCCTGACTTTTTGCCTCTCCCCCATTCACCTTCATACATGCAGCCATCTGCCCACAAATACTTGCCCGTCCCCTCCGGCAAACTGCCCTGCCACGTACCGACGTAGAAGTCGCCATTTGAGAGCTCCTTCTCTCCAGTAACTGGAACCGACCCCGCATCTCCCGACCCATCGATTGATGACACGCACTTCGCCTCACCAGCATCGTCGGAGGTCAGGAGTTTAGTTGAAGTCAGTTCACAACTGCGAGGGGAATAATGTTTTCCTCTTATCTGTTTTGACAGATCGACGTCGTTGTCCGTATCCGCATGAGGAAACGGGCCAGACATACAGGTGAGACCAGTTGTAACAGCTTTCTCAGGAGCAACAGCCCGTTTTCGCGACCGCCTCTGAAAACTAAAAATTAAATTTCGTATCCCTTGTCCTGACTGGTTGGCCACATTGCACTCCTCTGCACGACCTAAACTACATGTTGTTACCAATGTCGCGGCCGCACCACTGTCAGCTCTTCTAGAAGAAAGACTACGCGAGTTAACATCTTTCGTCCTATGAATCTCATAAAGCCCTGAAGAGACAACACACGCTCTGTATCAGTGCTGTGCCCCAGCGATGCAATTCCACACTTCACACTCACACCTGTTGCCGAGAATTGAGGCGAATTTCTCACCGGAAAAACACAAGCTGAAGGACTAGGCTCTTAAATCGGGCGAGTGAACAGCATAATTTCTGAATAACCTTGTAGTATCTCTGGTAACTCACGATGATATTTCCGACATTCTCAATTTAAAACACAACCGACGCACATGCTATCGAGAAATCATCAGAATGCACAAAATAGCGCAAACTGATACCTCGAATAGCAACAACCATCTAGTGTTCGACCCTAGATGTGTTCGACCTGCTTCATCTTATTCCTTGCAGCCCTGCGGTTAACTCTTGTAACCACACTGGCACGAATAGCAGCGTTTCCAAACAATGGAAAAGGGTATTCCGAAAACACGACAAGACACGGCAACACAGCAGACTAAACCAGACACTCGGCTGCACGCCGAACGTCGTGATTGAGAGAAAGAATAAGGAAGATTCACTTGCCTTCAGACATTGGTCCTCGTCAAATACAGATGCCTTTCCTAGATTTCTACTCCAAGTCCATGTGGTGTCGACGCGTGAAACCTGTTCGATCTTCCTAAGAAAAAGCCAGCGCGGCATGAACACCACCACGCAGCTAATTCCTCGATCAAAAAAAACCACAACCTAACGGCGCAATCGACGCAGAGCAGTAACGCTGCGAATACGCTTCCGACACTTTAGAAGACCAGATGAGCACGACCACTCGTCCCAGCATCACAAATGACGCGGCATCTGCAGCCGAGAAAAACTACAGAAAGGCGATCCATAAGTGAGGACCCAGAGGACTCCAGAATGCTAGGACGAGGGGCAGAAGGGGGAAATCATTTCGGGGGGGTGGACTACGGAGGAGAGAGGGGATGACGACAGAGCAGAGACGAGATAGAGGGAAATCGGTCTGAAAGAGCGACGCGGACGGGAAATGAAATGAGGAAGGCAAGTGTCAAAGCCCGCCACTGATCCGCAGTTCTCTGAGGAGAAGAAAAAGGAAACCCTAGGCCGAGCAGTGGAAAAGTGGCACCAGCAATGCGAGCAGCAGGGACGACGACGGAGCGAGGGGAACCAGGAACGCGACCTCGACCTCCACCGGCATCAGCACCACCACCAGGACGGCAACAACGCAGGGCACCAGAACCACGCAGGCAAGTGCCCCGCGGAGTAGGTGCACCAATAGACTAGTCTCAGTCGCAGCACCAGCCTGCTTGTAGCCAGTCGTAGCAGTAGGATCCACACTTGTGGTGAGCTCCCTCTCCTCCCCCCCCCCCCAATGTTCGCTTTCACTTTTCCCCTCATGTTGATACGTTTTTACTGTTCCTCTTTTTTCGCATTTTACTTTTTTCTTTCCTCAGTTTTCTTTTATCTTTCCCTCTTTCTAGCGTTGGCTTAATCTCTTCTTCGTCAGCGCCAAGCAAGCAAGCGAGTGTCCCATTTATGGTGTCCCCATATTAATAGAGTATCCAAAGTTTGACCGTTTTCATTGTTGTGTGCATTCGCGGGATATGTTTAAATACATGAGTATGTAAACTTATATTTGATTCGTTGCTTATATTTACGAATATGCATAAATGGGCTACCAGGTATCTTCTCCAATTTGTAAGTCAATGTAAAAAATATTTCTAACCATAACAATAAGTTATGTTCAATTTTGAATCAAGTCATATTCCCAAGTTGGTATGTTATTATCAAATTTAGCATTTTAAATTCACCATCTTTACCTTGTTCTCTGCCCAGCTTCTTTCATTTTTCATCATCTTTAAAAAAAAATCATGAACAGTGTTAAAACAAATGCAAGGGATTTCTTCTAGATATAGATTTTAAAATAAGGTATTAAGTTGGATACATACATGCTTCTGATCAACTTAATTTTTGTTTACAATATGACCGCACATGTTCTAAATATTGATTTTGTTCATATGTTCCAAAATTCAAGTGGGTTGGTTCATTTCCGGCTTCCTTTGTTATATACGTATTTATAGATATATATATATATATATATATATATATATATTACTTGTAAATATCATGAAATTGGATGAAAATATTTATGGCTAATTCTTGTTTTCAAATGAAATTTATCTTTTACAATATTAACAACATGTTATATCCACACAATGAAACCTTAAACATGTGCATGATAATTTAACCATCCACAATTTTTATTTTGATGTAAAAGTAAATAATATGCCAACGTAAACATTGCTTCTACTACATGTAGATTGATGTTTTTGTAAATATAAAGTACAAGCATTTAACATTCTAGTCAAATAACAAAAGCATGTTCTATAATTACATTATTGTAATTGCATGCAAATAATTAAATATTATTAAGCAAGAATATTATCAAAAAATTAATCATTATTATGAGTGTTTTAAATGATTAATTTCATTTCTTTTTCTTTTTAAATGTGTTCATGAAGTTCTAAAAGATGAATGTGTTGAAATTATTCATGAATTAATTTTATTTTTCCAATATATTGAAAATTTTAGGAAAATTTTATTCTTATATATTATTCTAAATTAAATAATTTAAACTAAAATTTTACAAATATAAATTTTTATATGAAAAATGTAGATAACCATTACCTCCAATTACTATTTTTCTTGAATTTTTTCATTTACAATAACATAAAAAGTTTTTGAATCATAGGCATTCCTAGCCTTGAAATTGGGTTCATGCTTAGAGTTATTATAGACTCTTGACATTGGTTAGGGATTTTGGATTTGGATGGTAGAAATGTGGTTGCCACTCAAGAGCCTCCTATCACTAGGTTAAAGGGGCATTGGGCAGCTACTCTCCATCTTTCTTTTTTCCTTACAGGGCAAAGCTATGCCAATTTTTTTTCTCTCCACCTTGCTTCTAATTCAATGAAAACTCCTTCCGTTATATAATTGCTTGGATTTCCACCTTTTAGTTGGTTCAATTATTTTATTTTTATATCTTTTGAAATATTTTCTAACCACCTTCCTCTAGTTATTAGCTTTCTAAGAATACCAAGCACATATTATTTGGAGCTCTAATGAATTTTTGGCAAATTTTAAAATGAAGAAAGGTGCAGTGCCTTAGCCATGAGAAATTGCTAACTTCAAAAAAATTATTGCTTGGTGATCTCTATCTTGCTTCCCAATTTTTTTTTTTTTTTTTTTTTTTTTTAATTTTTTTATTGTAATTTAAAGTCTAGTTTCTATGAAAATTTAAATTAGAATTTTTGAAGCTTTTATGAATTTTTAGTGAATTTTTGAGTAAGAAGGGATCTACTATAAGATAGTATAAGGGCAGTACAATAGAATTAGCTTAGAATTTCATAGTGTAGTGCTTGTTAAAGATATTTTAGTGAAAATTATTACAACAAAGGTGTCTTGAAGTTTAGTTCTAAGAAAATTTTAAATTAGAATTTTTAAAGTTTTTATGAATATTTTTAAGTATAAGGAGATCAACTGTCCTAACTGTATAAGAAGATGCACAGTTGAGAGTCCAACATTGAAAAGCCACATCTTAACCATTGTATACTGGAATATTGCAAAAACTGGGAGATAGGAGCTCATCCAAGTGAAGGTTTAGCACACAAAAAAAAAAAAAAAAAAAAAAAAAAAAACTCACACAAGTAGGAACTAAAGAAGATTTTAATGGATTCTTAATTTGTAAGGGGTTGTTACCTCAATTCATGATGAAGATAAGTTTTTCTTTCCTAATCACCTCCTAATTGCATTTTTTAGTTCATGGATTATTGGATTAATTCGTCACTCATCTTATTACTACATTAATTGAACCTTTTATCTTGTCTTAATAATTATTTTTTAAATTTTAACTTTCAATTACCTTTCTACCCTCAATTTTTAATCTTATGTTATTTCAATTTTTACTTTACTTTTAACTTTAAATGTATTTTTTTTTATTTTAAATTTTTAACCTTTATATTATTTCATTTTTAACTTAATTTTTTACTTATATTTTATTTTTATCTTCAACTTTTAATCTTTATGTTATTTCATTTTAATTTAACTTTTAACTTCAATTTTATTTTTTACCTTCAACTTTTAATCCTTATGTGACTACATATTTAATTTAAACTTTAAATTTTATTCTTATCTTAATTATTAAATTTTAACTTTTAATGTTATTTTATCATTTTAGAAACAAATCAATTAGATGTTTAGACTTAAAAAAGAAAAAAAAAAAAAAAAAAAACATAGTTATTTATCATTCAATTTAATTTTTTTAATTTAATTAATTTATAAGAGAAATTTAAACCATCCCATCTAAGAGGATTTATATCAATTCACATCAAGTTTTATCTGGCTTGTCGTTTGCTAGATATTACATTGATGATATTATTATTTTTAATAACACCTCATAAGATCATATAAAATATTTTTAAGTAGTGTTTGAGTAATTACAATAATAGAATTTTTTTTTGTATTATAGAAAGTATAAATTCTTCTACAAATGATTACCATATTTGGATCACAAGATTATCTCAGAAGGTCTTAGCATACAACAAGCAAAGATAGATGCTTCACAAAAAATTCCAACACCAAGTGATGTTTTATGACTTTGGATTTTTTTAGAGCTAACAAATTACTACCAAGCATTCGTTAAAAACTTTAGCATTATTTCCAAGCTTTTAACTATTCTTATGGATAAAGATTAACCATGGACTTGAAGTCATGAGCAACAACATGCATTTGAGACATTGAAATAAAAGTTGACGTCAAATCTATTGCTTTGATGTTCAAATGCCAACAGATCTTTCCAATTATATATAGATTGGAGTGTAGTAGAATTAGAAGCAATCTTCACACAAAAAGATGATATAAGATGAGAATATGTTATTACATTTTCTTTTAGAAATAATAATAATAATAAAAATTCAAATTACTCATTTTATGAAGGAGAAGCTTTGACAATAATTTTAATCATTGCTAACTTTTGATCTTAATTGTATAGTTAATATTTTATATTGATAATTGACCATCAATCTTTAAAGTGGCTTATGGAATTAGAGAAGATTAGTGTTAAGCTTGCAAGATAGACTTTGTTGCTTTAAGAATACAACTTTGAGATTATGCATCAGGCATGTATTACTAGTTTGGATCCTAATGGACTTTCTCGTAATTTATGATATTCAAAAGAAAACTTAATTGAAACTTGATGGTATAGAAATTGTAATCAAGAGGCATTCTTTGGATGGCATGTAGCCACATACTTGACTTTAAGATTAAATTTTACAACTATTGTTCTTGACCACAATTCAAATGAGAAATTGGACAAGAATTAAGAAATTAGCAATATATACAAAGATCTTACAATCTTGCACAAGCTTCAATAAAGAACATTTCATCGAACTATTTCTAACACAGAAAGACATAGGATTAGTCATCAAATAATAAGATTTTATTGAGAGAAAAATTTGTTATTTTATATGTGGCTTGATAGAATCAGACACATAGTTCTAAGGTTAGATCAAAGAGCCTCCTTGATATAACAAGTATATAAAGAACTTAGACATTTTAAGATATATAAGACACATTCTATGTTGTATAATAAATATTAGTAGAGTGGTGTATATCAACAAGTGATCACATATGTTTCTTAGTGTAAAGTGTATATTTTAGTTAAATCAAGCTTTAGCACCTTATTGCCTCAATTAAAGTTGTTACATATCATGGATTTTTGTTATTGTTAGTCTTTGGACTTTATTGAACGACTTATTGTTACCTCATGTGGAGCTAAATATATATATTGGTGATAGTAGAATATTTTAAGAAGTGGATTGAATTTGTGGTTTTACTACAAAATTCTTCAAAATTAGCAACTATGGTTTTTCTTGATTGAATACTCACACGTTTTGGAGCATCTATTAAAATTTTAATAAATTAAGATAGAAATTTTTCTAGAAGTTTTAAAGCATTATATAATAGAGCTTTGATAAATCATTATACTACATTTAGAAATCATCATGAAGCAGATGGCCTAATTAAGTCGATTGTTCAAACTATTAAACGAGATTTACAAAAGTTTGGATTATTTCATAGCAACCATCGTGATTAGGACTTGATGTTGCCATGGATTGCGATGGATTATTATTTCAATAGACAAGCATCTTTGACAACTTATAATCCTTAT